CTTCATAGACGTGCAATAGGATTTTTGTACAAATAAATACATTTGCAAAGTACTTTTTTTAAAGAAGGTTTAATTGTGTTTTGTTAACTTTTAGTGAAACGGTGGAAAAGAAGGCTTGTTTAAAAGATTGGCTGAAGGCTTGGTTTGAGAAAGTCTGTCCATGGGAGGTGCATGATGACAAATATGATGTTAGACGAGATCGTTTTGTACTGCTTCGGCTTGAAAGAGTTCCCCTTCATCTAGGGCCTGAAGAATTCTTCAAGGCAGTCGGAAATTTATGGGGTTCATCTATCACTTTCGATGATAATACTCACAAATGCTCAGATTTGATATTGCAAGAATTTTAGTTTCTGTCAAAGTAGACTCGGTCATTCCTGCTTTTATTTTCTTTAAAGCCAATGGTGAGTGTTTTAATTTTTCTATTACGAAGGAGCCAGTTTATGGTTTTCCCAATATGTCATCGAACTTGAAGTTGCAAAAGGAAAAGAAGTCGTCTTCTTGTGACTGTTCTTCGTCTTATTCGATTGGATCACCCGAGGTGTCTGAATATTCAATTCCTGAAACAAATGACATTTTTTGGGGAATGTCTCTAGTTCACAAGCACAAAGGTTTGAATTGGGAAGTGGTAAAGTTGGTCCAGGAAGTGGATTAGCCAAGTATGAGCTTTCAATGGATGAAATTGTTGAGGAAGTGGTAGTAGTGGCACACTCTGAAGATGTCTGCAGGGAGATCGGAAAAGATAACGGGGGCGAGACTAATATTATTAACTCAGCCGAAAAGGTAGACTCAATTTCAAGTGAAGAGAACCTGGAAGTAGAGGGTAGGGGAAAGCCGTTGAGTGAGCAGAATTTTTTGGGGAACTCAAAAAGATCTTTTTGAAGGACATTGAGGAAACTTTATTGAAAAAGCTTTCCCAAAAAGAAAACAAGTGTGCTGGGAAAGGGAAGATGAAAAAATTGAAACCGCTCAAGAATAGTGACTCGAAGCAGGTGCAGATGAACCAAGGAGGTCGATTTGCAAACGAATCGTTGTTTGATGGAGATTTTCAAACAGGGTTCTAATGGAGGAAGCTCAAGCCACATTGAACCTTGGGAAAATGTTGGGTTTTCATGCCAATTGTGAGGATGATGTTATTGTCGAGAGACTGAAAGAGTTGGCGGCTCGAGCTTAAGGCATTCTCCTTGACAGCAAGGGTGTTCTTGAAAGAAACAGAAATGAAAATTGTAGTTAGATTTTGTGGAATTATCAGTTTTAGGCGATTGGCATTTCCTTAGCTGGTGTTGGTGATTCCAAATTTTATGAGTAGAGGTTTGTTTCATGCTCTCCTTTTATGGAGTTTGGATTCCAGAGTTATAGCAGTGAGGTTGTAAGGGTAAATCATCTACTGATTGAAAGTGAGAGTCGGGTAAGATTTTTGGTAAACGATATGACTTTCAATGTTCAAGCTGTGCAAAATGTGGGTACATGCAGGTGTTTTGGTTGTCCTTTTGCAATTGTTTTGACTGGTTCTAGATTTTTTTCGATGGTTAAGTTCCTTAGAGAGCGGTGTTGTAAGTTTTTTAGGAGTTGACTTGGCTTTTTGTTAGTTTGTCTCCCAATTTGCTTTGAATTACGTTCGTTGCTTTGTTAGCTTCTGCTAATTTTTTAACCTCTTGGTTGATAAATTATTTACCTTTGAAAAAAAGTGATTTTTCAATTGGTTAAATTTTCCCAATCGTCTCTTGTGTTCATTCCATACAGCGATGGGCTATCAGGCCCACCTAGCTGGTTTGGAGATTTTGTTTAGGATAATTTTGGGCGGACAAAATTTAAATGAAGTAAAATTCATAAAATAGTTTATTAGAAATAAGTAAATAATTTTTTTAAAATTTAATTAGATAAGTTGATAGAATTAAATAAAAAATTAATAATATAAAAAATTATTTTAAATATTATTTATAATTCAATTTTAATCAATACTTATTTAACAATAAAAATTTTATTAATATTTTTATTAAAAATATTTATTTAATAAATATATCAAAATTTATTAAAATTTTTTAAATTTTAAATATTTAATTTATGTGATAAAATTTTTTAAATTTTTTATTTTTTTTTACCTTGAGTTTATCCAGGATCTTTATTTGTTCTTAAAAACTCGAACCTGTAAAGATGGATTTGTCTGTGTTATGTCTCTGACGATTAATGAAACGAATTCCTTTATGGCCAAAAATCAAAAACAGAAGAAATTAGTAACTCAACACCTACTTTGACAATGATGGATGACCAATGCTTTTTGTAGTCAATCATTCATGCGTTTATTTTGTATTTATCTTATATACATTGTAGGTCTAATATTTTCTTAAGTTATAGGTCCAAGATAAGATTAAATTCGTGAGACCTATAAGAAGCGAGTGATTTAGATAAACTCTAAGTAACACCACTGTTAATTCAGTTGTCCTAGTCAGATCTTCTATGGAGTGAAACAGACAGGCATGTGTTAAACCTAATTTGAGGCATGCAATTATGTTAACAGATATAAGAGGTACAAGATAAAAGACTAAGGGGTGAGAGTCCTCCCATCAATTTACTCTAGCTTTTGATCTGATAATTTGTATCATCATATCGTGTTTTACATAAAAATTATGTGTCATAATTTATATTAATATCAAACTATAAAATATAATATTTTGGTTTTATTAAACATATTTATGATTTTTTTTAAGTTTTAAGTTGATGTTATATTCGTATTCTTTATTTGTATCGTTTTCGTATCGAATCATCGTATCATATTTTAAATTATCAGGTCTTTTAATCCACAATAATCCTCTTTGCTTTTATTAACTTTTTTTTTCTTATGTGATTATTGACTTGAGCAGACCACGATTCAAAATCTTAATTTTGATGTTGTTTTAATCATTATTTCCGTCTTTAATAGGTCAAGCGAGCTCTCTTCCATAAACTACTTATAAATTTTATTTTACCAACCCAAAAATACTTCAACAATGAGTGTGTACGAGTGCAAGTAAGTTTGTTCATGGCCCTCACTAAATATCTAGATTTTTAATTTCCATTTTACGAAATACATATTGAATAAGTTTTCATTAAATTTTCTAATAAGAAATTCTTGGATTCACTAAGCATAAGATTGATCCTCCCTATATGGATTTTACTAAAAGAAATTAAGAAACTATGGATTTAGTAATTAGTAGTTAAGGCTGAATTTTCTTCTTATGGAATATTGGAAACCGGAAAGAAGCCATCTTGCCGATAAAATAAGCTATTATGATTAGTGGTGTAATTGATCGAGTTCGAACCGATACAGTATTAAACTCGATTTTAAATTTGAGGTTCGAAATTCGATTCAAATTCAATCAAATTTTATTTTTATAGTTTGAGATTAACTCGAGATAAAAATCAAATTATTCGAATTCGCTTGATTAGACTCAATTAACATGTAAAAATAAGTTTAATTTTTATATTCGACAAAAACTTAATTATTTGTACTCGAACTCGAATTTGATTCGAGATATTTTATCAATTAAAATTATTAAAATATATTAAAATATAAAAACCCAATTAGACTCACGAATTGTTTAAACCGCATATAAAAATATTTGAATTCGACTTAATTGATAAGTCTAGTTATTCAAACTTGAACTTGACTTGATAATAATTAAACCGAATTTGAATCTCATTCGAATCAAACTCAAATAATTTACAAGTACTAATATATCATTTATACCCCTAATTGTGATAATTTATTTTAATCACATATTTTAATACTTTTAGTATCAAAATTTTGTCAAAAAAATATTATTGTGATGACTTAATAAATACCGTCACTAATACAATAGTGACAGAATTATTTATAGCGATAAATAACAATTCTAAAATTGGTCATATAAATTTTAGTGATTAAATTTTATATTTTTAATAATAATTTTTTTCTCTTCTAAAAAACTATTTTTTGAAGTGACTGTTGTACGATTTTTTAAATTATTAATAGAAGTTTCATTAACTTAGCAAAAAAAACAAAAAAAACTATCACACTTAAACAGATCAATTGAAGTTGACTTTATGTGTTTGCAAATTTTATTTGGAATATATATAGGGAGTATATTCATCAATCAACTTGTAATATTGAATATATGGAGATTAGTTACACCAAATTTTTTTTATGAAATTATGTCATTTATTAAAACTGATAATTATTATCAAATAGCTTTTACAACGTATAAAAAGAATAAATCAATAAATAAATATACCTCAGGAGACTTGAACCTAATAACAACACATATGTTCTCATCTTGTCCAAGAATATTGGTATTGCTGACTCTAAATTTGGTGAGCTATTGGCTATTTGTGAATTTATTTCTCTGTTTGTCTTTTAGATTGACATGATTTAACTTAAATTTATTGTTGAAATTTGAAAGCTTGTCATATTTCTAGGCTGATTAACTCAGAATCAAGGCATTGGTAATATTCTAGCATTATCAACTATATTTTGAATCTTTTAAGCTCCATCTAGGGGAGGTTTCATTTATTCACACAAATCGAAATTTCAATCACATGAGTCTTGTATGTTATTTTTTATGTCATTTCTTGTTTTGTTTTGTAATATTTTTATTGGTTTTTAATAAATATTTTAATCTTTCAAAAAAAAATGATCAAATCAAGAGAACAAGAGCAGGAAGAAAGTAAGTGAAAAAAAGAAGAAAAAAATCCCAAGCTACAATGACCCTATACCCAGCAAGAGGGCATGTGCTTCTCATAAAAATCTCATAAAACCAGATCTAGTTGAAAAGTTTTAACATTTTTTAAATCCACCATTCATTAATAATTACTAAAATAAAAGTTGTTAATATTTAGAGATGATGAAAGAAACCTAGGATTAATTGTGATATTAAAAAATTAACCCTGATTCGTCATGATATTGTTAAAATATTAGCAAGTGGAAACATAAAATAAATGCTTAACAACCAACGAAACATAAAAAATTTGCACTTGAGACATGTTGTCTAAAAATAATAACCCACTTTCATCGGCCTCCTTAGTTTCATCCTGATTCGTCTTCTCTATTATGATTTGTACTTCGGCTTTAAAAGGCTTGAATCCAACACACATAGAATTAGCAAAGATGGAGAGTGAGCTACAATGTTTCGGCAAAGAAGCCGGTGCACACATCTGGGTCATCGCATTCCCAGCATGCGGCCACATTCTTCCTCTCGTGGACCTAACCCATCAGCTTCTTCTTCGTGGCTTAACAGTGACAATCTTGGTCACACCCAAAAACCTTTGCTATCTAAATCCTCTTCTCTCTTTGCACTCTCCCAATGTTAAAACTCTAGTCTTCCCTTTTCCTCCTCACTCTCCTCTCCCTCCTGGAGTTGAGCAGATGCAAGACCTGCCCATATCCTTTGTTCCTGACATAGCAAACGCCTTGGGCAAACTCTATGACCCTTTGTTTCAATGGTTTCAAACCCACACATCTCCTCCTGTTGCTATTCTCTCCGATATATTGCTCAGTTCTTGGACTACTAAGCTAGCTTCCCATCTCAATATACCAAATATCAGTTTTATTCCGTTCAATGTAGCTGCAGTATCTTTCTGGTTTGACAACCTAAACAATAGTGGATCCTTTTACAGAGAAGCATTTACGGCAAGTATACAAAGCCGGGGGCTTGTTTTTAACTCGTTTAAAGAGTTGGAAGGTGTAAAATTGGATATGATCAAGGAGAAGTTTACCCGAAATGATCGGGTTTGGGCCGTAGGGCCTTTGCTCCCTGTAAAAGCTGGGGACAATGGCCTAAATGAGAGAGGAGGACCGAGTTCAATACCACAAGATCAAGTAATGGCATGGCTAGATTCTTGCAAACAGAACAAATCGGTGGTCTACGTGGGATTTGGGAGTCAGATTACGTTGACCAAACAACAAATGAAGGCAATAGCCTCCGCCCTGGAAGAGAGTGGGGTTCGTTTCATATGGGCTGTCAAGGATCCAATGAAAAATGTTGAAGTTGGCGGTGATGATCAATCTATAATTCCCAACGGATTCGAAGACCGAGTGGCAGGAAAAGGCCTTGTGATCAAAGGGTGGGCGCCGCAAGTGGCGATTCTCAGGCATCGGGCCGTCGGTTCTTACTTGACTCATTGCGGGTGGAACTCAGCACTCGAAGCGATCCTTGCTGGAATATTGTTGCTTGCTTGGCCTATGCAAGCTGACCACTTCCACATCACCAAGCTGTTGGCAGATGAATTTGGGGTGGCTATCCGAGTTTGCAAGGGCTTAAAGAGTATCCCTGATGCGACCAAACTAGCTCGGATCTTTGTTGATTCCACAAGCATGACACAGCCAGAACGAATTCGAGCCATGGAATTGAAGAAAAATGCATTGAATGCCATCAGAAAAGGTGGAACTTCCTACCAGGCTCTTGATAAACTCGTAGAAGAATTGTCGAGCAATAAAATTAAGATAAAAAGAAAAAGATCATCCATGTAACATTTGGAATTTTTTTTTTTTTTTTTATGATTGGAATTGTCGAAGATTGAATCTATTATTAATATTAAAATTAAACACTCTATCAACGAATCATTGACAATTGTTATTGATTGACTTAATTCAAAGATGTCCTTAATTTTGTGTTGGTTTGGGAATGTGGCAAGGGTGTTTCCCAGCAATTACACCATGGACTCATGGGAGTTTTAGATTTGCATACAAAATATGAAAAGAATATGATCAATATAATTACATAATTTTTTTCTAAAACTTAGATGATTTTATCACAGCTCCCTAATATAAATATGATTAAAAAGGTACCGGCTAAGTTTTTTTTCTTTTTTCTCAAGAGTCCTCACTATCACTTTTCATGTTAGACCTAATACTCTCCTAAGCTAAAGGTTTAAGATAAATCAAAATTCGTAAAATTGATGGGGAGAAACTGATCTAGATAAACTCGAAAGAATATCACATATATGTCACTTATTTTAATAAAGTTTTATTCATGAGTGAAGAAGACAAGTATTCATTATATTTGGTTCGAACTATATAATTATATATCTCAAATATATAAAAGGTACAAGATAGAAGATTAAGGGAACGAAATCAACTCAACAACTTACTCTAGCTCACAGCAAACTTCTCTGCTTTCACTGCTTCTTCATTTGGTGATTACCAATTTAAGTGCCATAGCATGTTTTGAAAACCTAACCCCGATGCCCTTTTGACAATTCTTTTCTTCTTAACAAGCAAGCAAACTCTCTTATGTAAGCTACCCATGAATCTCATCATATGAACCCAAAAATACTCGATAACGAGTGTGAAAGTGCAATTAGTAGGTTTGTTCCTGAAACAATCTAAATTTTAACTCCTAATCAACAAGCTACATTGGGAGAGAATGAGAGAGAGAGAACTAGAGAGAGAAAGCAATATTAGAATGTCAGGGATCGGAGTCATAGAGTATCAAGAAATCACAGATCTAGTCTACCAAAGAATGTTCACTGGAAAAGAAAGTTGATAACTATATTTGTTGATAATATTCATCCAAAAGGTAGCGAACGTGATCTTTGGAATCTGATAATGTAGTAAGGGAGAATATTTGGATTTCTTTATTCCTCTGACCCAAAGAAAGACAAGATGAAGCAAGTTCGGCTTTTTCAGGTTTAAGGATCTCAGGGAGGCACTGTCAGTTACTAGAGCATTAGATGGTACTCTATGGAACAAATGGAGACTTGCAAAATATGGCAGAGAACATAAGTAACAACCAGTTCAGACATCTCATGGTAGATTAGGTGGAAAAAATACTACAATCCTTTGGTCCTTTGAGTGGAATGAAAACATCTCTTATGCAGAAATGGTGAAAAGAATGCCCGTGCAGTATAATAGGGAAGAGAAAATAAGTAAAGGAGGGTGGAGTTCAGATGCTAACGGGGGGCTGTACTTGGAAAATACAAATCATTCAAACTCCATCATTCTGAAAGATAAAGTGCTTGAAATGGGCTGGTTGGAGAGATGTGCCATAGCAGAAGTAAAGAATCCGCAAGCAGTTCATATGCTTCAACAACATATCCCGACTCAAGGTGTCCTTCATTTCTCAGTAACAATTATGGGAGGAAGCATGGTTCTTTTAACATTTGAATCCAAAGAAGAAATGTAAAGCATGTTGGAAAAAGGTAAAACGTGGCTGAGTGAGTGGTTCTTTTGGACCGAGCCATGGAGTCTTGAGTTAGTTTGCTGGTAATGAGTTGCATGTGTTGCCCAATTCAAATGGAACGCAAATCCTAGGAATTATTGATGAAATGAGTTGGATTATCAAGGACAATAAAGGAGAATGCATGTTGGAAAAGACTAGTCACCGTAGAGGATATCATATGTGCAAGCCTGGGTGAAAAAATTGGGTTACCCACTGAAAGCCCAACTAATTAAAGATGGGAAGAAGAATGGGCCTATAGCTTCGGTGATGGTTGGAGATGAGAATCCAGATTTCGAAGTGGGCTTTCTAGGCTCGCCTACTGAAGCCTATGGCTTAGAATTAGATAATAGCTCTAACGTGGAAAGGTTGGTACTAATGGAAGAAAAATCAGAAATGGAGTTAGCTTTGAAGAATAGAAAATCTGGAACAGAAAAACGAGGGAAGAGACCTCTTTTGGTGGAACCACCGAATGTTGATATGGGAAGAATAAACAAAGTGGTCAACCGAACAAAAAAAGGGAAAAGAAGGATGCAGTACAGCAACATTTTCTGAAGGGGGCTAATGTCTTAGACGAAGATATCAGCAGCAAGAATACGGCTTTGCGTCAGGAGGCCATGAAAAATCTCAAAGTGGGGAAGCTCTCGATTCTAACTACTGAGGTTTTTGATGATGAGGTCATTGACAAATTGATAAGCACGGAAGCGGATGAAGGTGTCTTTGAAGGTAACCACTAAACCATCAATGGGTATGAATGAAAAAAGGCATGCGTTAAGGAAGCTAATTTCAAAAGAAAACCATCAATGGTTTTCATCCAAAAAACTAAGTTGTCAAAAATTTCCGGTAGAATGATGCACCAAATTTGGGGGAAAATGGGATTAAATTTGCCCATAGTAATGCAAGCGGCCAATCGGGAGGATTATTAAGCATGTGGCTAGAAAAAACTTTCCATTGTTCCTCCATTGTTGTGAAGGATAGGTTTACATGGATTAAAGGAATATTTCCCTCACACTCTGAAAATTTTAACCTGTTCGACCTATATGCCCCCAACGAGGTCAGGGAGAGGAAGGCTTTCTAGATGAATTGGCTGCTCTAATTACTACGGGAAAATTCTGGTGTCTTGCAGGAAACTTTAACGCAGCATTAAATGATAAGGAGAGACTAAGGGTTTCTGATTATGTGCCAATTTGTCTTGGTATTGATGCTGTGGATTGGCGGCCAAAGCCTTTTAAAGTGTTCAATCACTGGTTAGATGAGGAGGATTTCAATAAGTTGGTGGAAGGCAAAAGGAGTAGCTACGAGGTGGACGGATTTACTGGTTTTCGTCTTCATCAAAAGCTGAAACTACTGAAGAATGATACAAGGCAGTGGCAGGGCTATAAAAAAGGGGGTATAACTGGTGGAATTTTAACAAAGGCAAAGGAAATTACCAACTTGGAGAAAGCCCTTGAAGAACACCCCTCTAATGCTGAGATTGGTTTCTTAGTAAATTCCAAAAGAAATGAGTTAATTACAGCTACAAAGTGTTGAAGAAAAGACATGGAGACAGAGCTAGAGTCAAATAGGAGAAAGAGATAAGAATACAAAATTTTTTCATTGCATGGCCGGCAGTCGATCGAGAAACAACTTCCTAGGACATATCTCCTTCAGGGATAAGCAACTTGGTAATCTTAGGGAAATCAAACGGGCAATAGGAACGCACTTCAGAGATCTCTTTGCTAAAGTCTCCAAACCCACTTGTACCTTCCCTCATCTGGAAGTGAATAAGTTGAGTAATCATCAGGCCCGACAGCTTGAAGCAACATTTCTCTCATTGGTAGTATCTACAAAATTATTGCCAAGACACTTGCAAACAGGTTGAAGCAAGTTATGGGATCCCTTATCCACCCAACCCAATCGGCATTTGTGGAGGGAAGACAAATAATGGACAGTATTTTAATTGCCAACAAAGTTATTGTCTCGATCAGGAAAGGAACAGAGGGTGGTCTGGTTTTTAAACTGGACTTCGAAAAAACTTTTGATAGAGTGGATTGGGAATTCCTTGTCTCGATTATGAAACAGATAGGCTTCGGTGGCGAATGGATTAGCTGGATTTCGGGTTGAATCTCTTCGGCATCTATTTCAATTCTCATAAACGGCTCCCCATCAAATCCAATTATGATGCAAAGAGGACTTCGGTAAGGTGACCCATTATCACCTTCTTATTTCTGTTAGCTGCTGAAGGTTTAAGCTTGCTCCTACGTAAGGCAGTATCTATGGGCCTCTTTCAAGATATTAAAGTGGGGTGTGGAAACATACAGATTTCTCATCTGCAATTCGCAGATGATACTATCATCTTTTGCCAACCTCTGGAAGAAAAATTATTAATGATCAAGAGGGTCCTTCAGTGTTTTCAGTTAGTTACAGGACTAAAGGTCTATTTCAAAAAAAGTGCTCTTCTGGAATTGAAATCGAACAGCAGATTATTCAAATTTGGGCCTCCAAAATCCACTGTAAGGTGGACTCCTTACACACTAGATTTCTTGGAATCTCTTGGGTGCTAACCCGAGACTGCTCTCAACCTGGCAGCCTACTATAAATTCTGTTAAGAATAAACTCAGCCTCTGAAAATGCAAGCTTCTATCTCCAGCTGGTAGGATCACTTAGATTATATCTGTTCTGGCCAACCTCCCTATCTATTACATGTCCTTTCATTTATTAATATCCATCCAAAGTTAGTTAAGGCTGAATTCTCTTCCCTTCGAATATTGGAAACAGCAAAGAAGGCATCTTGCTGGCAAATGATAAACATCGTCACACTCGAACAGATCAACTGAAATTGTCTTAACCTGTTTGCAAATTTTATTTGGAATATATAGGGAGCATATTCATCAATCAACTTGTAACATTGAATACATGGGAAATAGGTAACCCAAAAATTTTTTATGAAATTACATCTTTTAGTAAAAGTTAAAATTATTGTCAAATAGTTTTTAATATTTATCAAAAACAATAAATTAAAAAATAAATCAAATATAAAATTAAACAAAATCGAATGAACTCTATACATTAAAAAACATGAACATGATAACAATCAATATGTTCTTCTATAAGAATATTGGTATTGATGACTCTATTTTTGTTTAATTATTTGCTATTTGTGAAGTTACTTTTTAATTTGTCTTTGGAATCAATTGACATTCTTAAGTTGAATTTATTATTGAAAGTGATTTGAAAGTGTCATTTTTCTTGGATGATTAACTCGGAATCAAGGCATTGGTACTATTATTCTACCATTATCAACTACATTTTTAATATATCTTTTAAGCTCCATGTAGGGGAAGGTTTCGTTTATTCACACAAATCAAAATTTCAATCATATGACAGATGCTCTGGCAAAGTAAGGTGCTAGTATAAAATAGGATCTAATTGCTTGGCTGTAATTTTTTATGTCATTTTTTTATTTGTTTTGCAAATCTTTTTAATGATTTTAATAAATATTTTATCCTTTTCCAAAAAAAAAAAAAAAAAACTTGATTAAAGTAAAAGAGTAAGAGAAAACGAATCAATAAAAGAGTAAGATCAAAAAGAAAACGAATCAAAAATTTAAAATTTAATTCAATTGATTTACATGGACAAATTTTTACAACTTCTGTGTACCCGTCGGCACATCCAATTGACCCCCACAGGCGTTGGGGCATATGCTTTCGTTATGGAACTAGCCCATTAGCTCCTCCTTCGTGGCCAGTCTCATGAATCTCATATTGTCAATCTAAAGATTAGAAGTCGGGAATCTTCAAAAGAAAATTTGATGCTAATCGTTGGAATGTTCTCTGAAAATAAAGTAGAAAGTGACATTGCGATCAGCGAGAAGCCATGTCTGATCAGCAATGGTGCCGCCGCAGGTGATCATCCCATTCCTGACGTGCCCATAGTCATCTTCTTATGGACTTAAAACTCATCAGCTTATTCTTAACGACAGCGACTATGATTGGTCACACCCAAAACCCTCTTCTGTCTTTGCATCATTCCAACGTTCAAACCCCATTCTCACCCTTCCATCCTGCCTGGAGTTGAGAACTTGCAAATTATGTTCCTATAACATTTGCTTTGATCAAGGGGACACGTATGATACGCTCCAAGTTTTTCCCAGTTAGCCTTAAGCTTGTCCTTCCTCATAGCTCACATCCTGCTATGAGCTAACACAGGCAGTCCAAGCAACATTGCCTCAATAATGTTTGGAACCCTAATCACTAACATTGAGTAGCCTGAATATTGCAAGTAGATTGCTTCTTCTGAAGCAAGGATGAAATAAAAACTGAGTTTATCTCGGTTTATGCAATCACGTTTAAGAGATAACATCCATAAGTAAATTTAAAATTCGAATCTCAACAGCTGCAATCATTTTCCTTATTCCCAGACTACGACGTCTTATGTAACAAAAAAAAAATGCAACGGTAAAAAGATGAAGGTAAATTTTGTAATAACATGAATATTCTTACAAATACAGGTACAGATGGTGAGCAGATTCAGGCTGCAATTAGCCATCAAGAAACTTGGAGGGAAAAGATTAACAGCCCTCCACAGCAGATTTTCTTTTGGGGAAAGATTGACATCAGAATCAATTACCAGCAAGGTGGACGCCATTATTTTTATCAAGATCGAATGTCATCCATCATCTCCCTAAAGAGCATTCAACAGAATGTGAAAGAAAAGTGTCATCATCATAAATCAGCCTGCCATGCATAAATGTTTAAATAACAAATTCTCTCCAATTAAGAGAATACAGAGAAGAATAATGGCTGGAAGTAACTACAATGACAACAAAGAGCACCTTTCCTTTTTTTTTTTATAAAGTATCCAAAATATGCCATAAACAACTTGATCATTCTGTTATTCCTTTTTATAAAGTTGCATTCAAACAGACATAGGGAGAGACCAAAATAAGTCAAGTCCAAGTAACCAGCAATTTGAGCGCATATAGCTCTACCCGATGAGCTTACACTAAGAAGAGATGTCATCTTGATCAGAAAATAAGCTGTCTCGAGCTTCAGATTCAAGTTCCCTGAGATTGTTGGACACCGCATCAACTTTTAATGATAGCCGCTGAGTGTGTTCTTCAATGCATTTTAGAACCATCTGAAGCTGTTCTTGATAAGCCGCCGATTTCTTTTTCTCACGATGCAGCTCTGTGGACAGTTCCCGGATTTTAAGATCTTTTTCATCCTGCAAACAGGAGCTAATGTATGTAAGGGCTTACATAGCATTACGCCTATTTAGCAAATATGATTAATGAGTACAAAAGGTGTCTCATGGGCATGTAATTCCAGGAAGCTTTTCCATAAATTGAATTAAATGGTCATACCAGGAACATAACCAAATTTCAGAATTATGGGATTATGGCCATATAACCAGGGAAAAACACCACATTATTTAACGGCAGTTATAACCATAAATAATAGCTGATTTTCACCGGTTGATGTCCAAAGGTTTCTTCCTTCCTAAGTTTCATTCTTCTAACAGTTGATCAGAGTGAGTAAAATACCATCTGGAAACATTTCAGTTAATCACAACCATAACAGCAGTTAATGCCCAAACTGCTTCAATTCAAGGATGCAATTATCAATTGATCTCTCATCTCTTTTAATTCATACAAAGCAAAAACTCATTTCAAACTTGGTATTTTGCAGATTAATGAATCAAGAATTTTCTTTAAAGTCAATGCTCTTCTAGTTCTGTTATGCCTACTAATCCTCCTAATTTCCTAGTTATGTATTTCTATTTGTTTCTTTCTAATCTATATCTCTCTATTTTCTACGTGTTTCATCTTCCATCTCTTTCTCTTCTGGTTGGATCAAAAGTCAACCAAATTGCATTAAGCCCTATTCAAGCCTGTTTACTTTACATGGGCAGCAATTGAAATTTGAAACCTATATGTTCCTGAATCCACTAAAATTTAGTGCAATTCGATGTGGCAACCTGTCTTTAGTTGCAAGACAAAGCTTCAATTAGATGTGTTTTAATTTTATAAGGTACACTCAGATGTACCAGTTGTGCATGACAAAGTTTTCCAACATTTTCTACATTCAAAAGGTCACAAAACTCATACATATTATGAATGATCTAAAACTATGTTTCTCAACTGTAATATCAGAAAATAATTTAAACAAGTAACCAACTTTTTCAGTCTGCTATGTGTGGTTCTAGAAGTGATGTCTTCTCAAATAACAATTAGTTAGCATCTCCGTGGTTAACAACTTTAGAGAAGCAATATACTAATATTAGCACAGAAAATGCATAATAGGCACCATTTAACAAAAAAACTTTCACTAATTATACCTCACAAAATGCAATTCTATGCGACCGTCGAGATGGTATTTTGCTTGGATTCAATTCATGATTATGTTCTTTAATAAAACCATAGACAACCCACTTTCCCCCATCCTTTGCTGCTATTCTTAGCATTGCGTTACATCCCTCTCTTGTGGCAGGCCGTGATGGGAAAACTCTGTTTTCTCTCTTTGTATGTTTTTCTGCACGAAAACCTTCTTTTGAGCAAACAAACTCTCGGCCAATTATTGACTTATCCTTAAGAGATCGACGTGTCCGATTATTCCGAATCGTGAAACCCATACGCCGGCCATACATCTCATAAAACTCCCTAGCATCCTCTGCTAACTCAAACTCCATGCCTTTGTATGGTTCTCTAGGTTCCAAAGTCATAGGAAAGTTTTGATCGGACGGGTTAATCAAATTACTATTTCCATCCAGATTACTATCTGACAACTCATCATCCAGCGTTTCATGGCCATCAAATGTTTCAGCCAGCCATTCTCTATAATTTCTGCTCATGTTAAGTCCCTGACCAGAGGAGCTAGCCATCACAAACCTGTCAAAAACCAAGTCAAGATCAGTCCAAAGCAAAATAACAAAATAGAAATCCCAAAAACATACAAAAACCCTTCTTGTCAACCAAAAAAAGAAGCAATGGCAACAGTGTGTTATGACCAACAACCCTAGACTTATCCAGTAAATGGGATTGGACAAGTAAGTTTCCATAGCTCTCCCAGATTCAATATGTACAACAAGAAGAATTAATTTGCTCTCTTGCTGTAAAAAATACAAAGCACAAACCTCTAATAACTCAACAAAGATCAAATTACTTAAAATTTCCCAAGAAAATTAAAAAAGAAAAAAGCTTGATTTGTTTACTTCCAATTACCAAACAAAGAATATGAAAAAAAAAAAAAAAACCCAAAATCAATCAACTTTTTGCCTTACCATCCTAAACCTTGGGAGTCTTTTTTTTTTTTTTTGTTCTTTAACAAACCAATCTTTTATCATTTTCCAAATAACATAAACCCAACAAGGAAAAAATTTTCTGATAAAATGGGAAAGCAAACAAAGTTAACAAAAGCATTGAAAAAGGAAATAAAAAAATTTACCTTTGTGTTGGTATTAGGGGAGAGTTTCAATTTCACAAGAAAAAGAAAACAGCCTCAGACTTCAGTTTCAGTGGGTTCAGCCACTATGAAGAAACCAGATTTGCGCTTTTTCAGTTCCCAAATTCAGAATTGATAATTGAGATAGAATAAAATGGCGAAATGGGGTGTGTAAAACAAAGCTCAAGCGAAACTGGCAAATGGGGGAGTTGAAAATGGAGTTCAGCAAGCAAAGCAACGATAAAAATGGTAATCTCAATTTTTTTTTTTCTTTTAAATTTTTAATCTACTTAGCAAAGACATTACGCCGAAACTTTTCAAACCCGAATTTATTAGAATATGAATTAATTCGAATCAAAATTATATGAATCAAATTGATTTAATTTAATCAAATCCGAATTAATACGAACCAAACTCCAATTGACTTAATTTAGGGAAGAAATTAAATTGCATATATTTTCAGTTTTGAAGAAAAAATTATCAAAAGAGAAAGGATGGTCAGTTAATTAATTTAATTTTATATATTATATTTTTATTTTTATTATAATTTATAATAAAAAATAAATATAAAAATTAATTATTAATTTTAAATAAAATATATTTTGGAGATAGAATGTTAATATTATATTTATTTTAATTATTAAATATAATATTTTAAATATATATAAGTAATTAGTATTAAGATTAGTTGTATTAAATGGATAAATTTCTTAAGTTTTTATGAATAAAATTTAAAAAACGTATATGATATAATTTGTATATGTATAATTATATTTATATATTTTTAAAAATATTTTAATATCTTATAATTATTTTAGATTTTAATAATTCAAGAATTGAATTAATTCGAATCTCATAAATTTCAACGATTTTTTTTATTTATAAAATTTAAAGTCAAAATCTTATTTTAAAAAAAAATTAAATTTTTTATCATTCGAATAATAAATATTAATTATTTTTATTATATACAAAAATAACATTCAAAATTAAATCTTATAAAAAAATTAAAACAAAATTAACCACGTCAAATCATATAATGTCACGTAATGCATGCTGTGTCATACCAACAGCTTTGTGTCATATTCATTATTCATTGTACATTTGTGTTATTTTCTATTCAAATGGTCAGTTATTTAAATTAAATTAATATTATGTATAAATAAATTTGATATTTTAAAACTTTTTTTAAAGCTTTAAGATTCAACCATTATGTCAATTAAGTGATAAAAGTGATAAAAAACAAAGAACTTTTTTGATATCATCGTACTATTTAATGATGATTTTGACGGTGAATCATCTTTAAATTATTTAGTTATTTGTTTAGTTTTAATTCATTAATGATGAAAATTATAGACAAATACAATTATATGAAATATCAATATGAATCATTAATAATAAATCAATAGTTAAAGCATGAAATGTTTAAAATAAATATTAAATATTAGTCAACAAAAATCATAAACAAAGTTAATTTTATATTTAACATAACATAATTTTATATTTAACATAACATAATTTTATATTATTTTTTGGCCAATCATAATTTCATATTATTATTAAACCATTTAATTTTAATATAATTTAATTATATTTATTTGATTTTAAAAATTAATAAATTATATATGAATAACCAAAATATTAAACTCCAATAATTAGAAAATTAAATTTAAAAAATTCAAAATCAAAATTACTTAAACTTGAAATGATCTGACTTAATTTATTCTAATTTGAGTGGATCCATATAAAAATATCTCAAACCTAAATTAATCCAATCATTTTTAACCTGTTTGATCTAAATTCAAAATAATCCGATTTTTCTTAACTCTAAATAATTCAATCCAAAATAATTTGATCAAATCCATTCATTTGTCACCTCTAAGCAATTTACATTTTATCTGAATTAATATTCAATTCCCATTTTAAAACTTAATTTTAAGAACTCTAATCCTTCAAAATTTTATTTACGTTTCATATCATTTAAACAAATACAAAATTATCCCAATTCTTCGTAACAATAGTAATAACTATTTGTTTATCATTAATCTATTGATTCGAGTAACAAGTAACTCGATATATTTTAAATAATATTTTAATTTCAAATCTTGTAATTTATTGAGACCAAATAAATTAAGTAATTAATTAGTACGAGCTAATAAAATCTTAATTAAAAGTGATTTTATTTATGTGTCTCATCTTTTTCTTAATTTCTTGTTATTTCCGATTTTGTGTTTTAATATCTAGAACTTATAATTTTATGCAAAAATGAATTTAACCCTTTTGGTCCTCAAATTATATAAAAAAATCATTTTGATCCTTATTCTTTTATTTTTATCAATTTAATCCTTATAATTTTATTTTGAATCAAATTAATCTAAACAATTCATTCGTAATCACCTAATTATCTCCTTTTACAGTCTTTATGCAAATAACGAATTAAAACAGCAGAGATTATGGATTTAAGAGTAAATGAATATATAAATGAAAGATGAATATATCATTCCAGAAATAAGCATTTTTACAATATTTTACATGATTAAGCACAATCTGGTAGGAGACTGAATGTACCAAAGGTAATTCATGTTTTAAACCATTACAGCTAAAGCAATATTCAAAGTTTAAAATAAAATTATTCGCAGTAAAGGGCCACATCATGAGGAAGAAAAGCAAACCTCTTACTGTCTTCATCACATAGCATAACTGTTAAACAACCTCCGGCTCAAATATTCAAGAATGTTCTTTACCTAGAAAACTTTTGCTTTCTCAAAAAAAAAAAGGGTTAACATCGTAATGATTCTTAAATTATAATAAAATATTTAACGTAATACTTAAATTTTAAAAATATATAATATAATACATGCATTATAAATCTGTTAACTAATATGATATTCACCTTTAATGTGATTAATTTCAAATGATGACAAGTGACGAACAAATTTATTGTTCAAGTATCACATTAAAAATTTTTAAAGTTTCATTATAATTGAAAGATCATTTATGACATTAATCCAAAAGAAAAATGTCGGTCCCCAATTGCAGTGTCTTGATTGGGGCACTCTCCATACAACTCTAACCCTCCCTCGGTATCGTTGAATTAAGTAGCAGTTCTTCTCATCTGAGCATTTGCACTTGGAAACCCTATTTTTACACAATTCTGCTAGACTCTACACCCACAGAAATAAATGGAAAAATCTAACGGTTATAAGTGAACAAATTATATGATGCATTCTCATCAACTGATCCAGGAGTTACTATGAGATGATAATTATCAGAGCTTTTAGTGGAAGAGGTGTCGGTAGACATACACCGATGACTGAGACTATCTATGTTGCAATAGCTCCAGATCTATGGTCTCGTAGTTCTTCAGGTTGTTGACTACATTTTGAACTTTCTTTGATATTTGGCTGGTATGCTCTTCAACAATTTTCATGAATGCGGTCAGATGTTCTTGATATGCTGCACATAGTCGTTTCTTGTTCCGTAGCTCAGCAGTTAGTTCTTGAATTTTCTTATCTTTTTCATCCTTCAGAGTTGTACATAAAAAGCACATCATTTAGAAAGACATGGAAATCAAAACTTTGTTTCATATTTTCACATGATATCATACTTAGAGCATCAAACCACCCCCCCCCCCAAAAAAAAAAGCATAAAGTTCCTGCGAGTATGTTATATGCAAACTAGTATAGATGCCTGAACAAGAAGCATTGAAAAATTTTAAAATGCTCAATTCATTGAAAGATATTAGGGAAAGTAGTGAAAAGGTAAAACCTGTTTATGAGATGAAATATTAAATTGCTGAAGAATAGCAAAAATCAATTGACTCAAGCCTTCCGCTTTAAAATGATGAAACTGCAATCAAATGGGGTAATTTCACTACCTAAAATTACATTAGAAATATTCAATTCACAAGCCTCAATTGGGGTTACCTACATGAATTTGTTTTTCCCATTCCACTCAGTCAAGGGCATATCATTCTAAAGATTTCAAGAAGCCAAATCATCTTTAATGATTTCAACCCATGACATCTTCGGCTTCCACTACCTCTTTTTATTCTTTCTACTGGAATCAATTTACTCTTGGATAATGCAGCATTGTTATATCTACACTGCACAACGATAAACCATCTAAATTAATCACTCCAAGGTTTACCCCCAACTAGTGCCACCTCTACCCTCTCACGAACAGCTTCATTTTTATTCAAACTTTTCATATATGAGTAGACATCATCTCAATATGCTCACTACAGAAAATATGTTGTATTCTAATTGTATGATATTTAATACCATTAAGTTCGATGCTTTACAAAATTGTTGCAAAAACAGATGTTGCAGTTTTATCATCAGCAGATATCATAAGAAAAAACCACACATCTGGCAACATTTATGGAATGTCCCAATAAATGAAAATTAGATATTAAAGGCAAGCATAAATACATAGAAGAGAAGTATGGCTAATTTGGGTCTAAGGATGATTCTTGGTTGAGATGCTAGTTAATTTTCTTTAGCCAGTCAAAGCTTGAAAGTGATTGTAATTCTTAGATTTTTCTTAGATTCGCATCTAGTGAATGTGTCATTTGTCCCATATTAATGTGGTAATTACAATTAGGTTTGAGCACAGTTGCCATTTTCACCAAAGCTGGTATAGTATTCATAGTGCATATGCATGCAAACTACACCTCTTCTTTTTTGGCTAAAATATCTAAAGAAGTAAACAAACCTACAGGCCACTTCCCTCTCCTTCGTTCTTCAATTAAGCAGCTCCCAATCTAGTAGTTAACCCAACCAAACTAGTAGTTAATTCTATTCTTGTGCAGGCATAAAATACTGTATTACTAACCCCATCTACTTATAAAAAATCCATAGGTTCCATGCCTTGTAAAGGAACATGACAATCCTTTGTTCCTAAAACACCTTATATACTTCCATCTTCATCCAGTGGCCTTTTATTCTTCTTAAAAAGCATTGATATCATATCTTTTGGAGAGAAATGGAAAAACATGATACTAGAATATAGAAAAAGATCACAGGGTAATAACTTATTTTCCTACAAACGAAGGCAATCTGAAGTCTGAAGAGAAGACATTAATCCATAAAAACTTGTTAAATAAACCACACAGAAAGTAAAACTAGAAAATTTCACCAAAGTTTTGGATGGTGAACATGGTAACCACACAGCATAGTTCCGAAGAAGAAGAATAGGAGGAGAACAAAGTTAGCAACTCACCATTGTTTGACGAGCCTCACGTGGAGCAACTACAAGTGGATGGTTATGGTCCTTTACAAATCTTGTTATCACCCACTTTCTCGATTTATCTAACTTAATATGAATCATTGCCTTACAGCCTTCCCTAGTGCTTGGCCGAGGCTTTCTGACAGGGCCAAATTTACCTCGTATACTAACACAATGACCCTCCTTATTACATCCAAGTCGACGAGCAAGAATCCTCCCATCTCTTTCAGATCGACGACAAGACATCACACGCATAACAAAGCCTACTCGCCGTGCATATTCATCATAAAATATCTTGGCAGCATCTTCAGACTCAAACTCCATACCTTCATGTGGTTCTGCAATTGAATCTCCTTCAAATGGGACTGCCACTGTCTCCACTCTTGTGAAGCTCTCTATTGCTTCAGCACCCTCATCCAAATCCACTGCCACACAATAACATCAACTATTATTCATTAAAATTTTTGGAAAAAAATATAAAAAATAAAAAATTATATCCTTCGAAAGATGAATATAAGAACTATTGCCCATAACTACAATTCAAAGTAAAAAATTCATTTTAAGCAGTTCAAAATGTTCTTAAACACTAAACCACCACAACAAAAACAACAAACTAAGTTTTTTTCCTAGTATGTGCAGCCGATTTCCAACACCACAAAAATGAAATTTCTAGGGGACCAAAGCAACAAAAATTAATGGTTTCAAGGAGATGCTTTAACTATTACAACGCAAGAGCAAAACTTGAAATTCCAGGTTCAAGTCCTAGTGAAGGGAGGGTAGGATTATGGATGGTAAAGTACTATCTCCTATTGCATAACTCAAGACCTGTGCCTCTGCATATGTGCCCAAAAGGGGAAAAAAAACGAAACCCATGTTTCTTCCCAGTAAAATTTCCATGAATAATTCATCAAACAACAGAATTCCTTTAAAACCCAAATAAGAAATTGGAAGTTAAACCAATCAAACAACTGAAGATTTATATTAAATTCCAAAATAAAGCTAGACACGAAGAGATAGCAAAGGAAAAGAAACAGCCAAAATAAAGCAAACCCATTAAAATCAAAGGTGTCCTACCACTAAATTCACATATTTGAATGGAAAATTAAGCCATAATAAAAGAAAGGATCACTGAAACAGAGGAGAAAAGCAAATGGGGACATGATAAAACAGTGGAAATAAGTTGTTACTTGCTTGGTTTAGAGGATCGAAGACGGAAAACGTAGATCTTCCGTATCTATTTCTATCCAGAGGCAGAGAAAGTACGGCGACTCAACTCGTGATGTCTGGTGGGCTCTGAATGTAATTTGGGAGAAGTTTGAAACATAAATGGAATTTCATGGTGAGGGACTTTTGAGAGTGGGGAATCAGTTGATGCCACGTGTACAAATTGAATGGAAAGAAGAATAAGTTAATTTTTTTATTTATTTATGTGACAATGTTAATGTTAAATTAAATTGAAGGAATCAATAATCTAATCAGATATGATAGACGTTGGTTTCCATCCATTTCTATGAAGAACGAATCCATAGCGGATTTAATATATTATATAATGCATTTTTAATTGGTTTTAAGTAATATTTAATAATTTAAAATAAAAGTGATAATGTTTAGTTTTTTTTTTTTTTCAGTTCGAGATATTATATAATATTATAAAATTTTAAATTTTAATTTAAATTTGAATTAAATTTTTATTTGATTTAAATTGAATTAAAATAAATTTTTTATTTGATTTAAACTGAATTAAAATAAAATTTTTGATTCAATTTGATTTAATTTATTAATTTATATTTTTATTTTTTATATATTATTTTAGTATAAAATTTTAATATATTTAAATAAATTTTTATAGAAAAGTATTATTTTTATTTTATAAAAATTTAAAATATATATAAAATAAATAAATATAATTAGATTCGGTTTGATTTTTTTTTTTTTTTCACCTTTCGATATGAAATCTGATCGAAATTTAATATATACATTTAATATCTAAATTTGATTCGAATTGAATAAAAAAAATTTGATCCGAACCAAATCAAATACTATGGTTTTGAATCAATTTTTATATTTTTTTATTTTTTTCATCTCTAATTTAAAATATAATATGATAACATGATATAAAAATGATACGAATAAAATATATGAGAATAATACGATTTAAAATTTAGTAAAAACTATAAATGAATTTAACCAAATAAAAAATATATTTCATATTTTTTTATTGATACAAATTATAAGAATAAAAATATATGAATTATCAATATTTTACATAATATAAATACATAAAATGTAAGATTTAATTCAAATTCAGATTTCATAAATCAAAGTTGATATTTCAATAAAACCAACCTGTATAGATGTGGATTATGAGATTTTTAATTTCCCTGGTAAAAAAACACTCCATGCTCCTAAGATATTTCAGCCTCTTCCATCAATGTTAGAAACTCATTAATCTTGATAACCGAATCACACAAAATCTCGTGAATGCATGTGATTGTGTTGTAATCGGAAGGCAAGGCTGAAACAATTGCAGATTCTTTCAAGTTATCCACTTTGTCTCCTGCAAATCTATACTTTCAATTTATGCGAAGTTTGACATTTATATAACCTTTTCCAATCCCCTAAATGGTTTGCTTTTGCAGGAACTGAAGGATAAGAAAATACAGCACCCATATAATGAGCTACAGTGTGAAAAAGACAACATCGCGAAGAACATGATGAGTTTATGTCTAAAAGAGTTGAAGACAACATTTTATCAAAAATTATATATAAATTTAATAAAATCTAAAATTATATTTTATATTTTTATATAAATACAATACGTAATTTTTATATAAAATACGACATGAATAACTAAATTATTAATATTTTATATAATTTCAATACATGAATTGTCATATATATTTTATATATTCATTTTTTTAAATTTGTCCTTTTCACTCGTTACTCTTATCAATTGATACTTGTAGTTTTGATAAGGAACTGGTAAACCAATATTTTATTGTGGTTAAAAAAATTCTCAAACATGCATTTTGCTCCTTTGGTGCGTAAATTGGCCTTAAGAATTGGACCAATTTCTTAGGTTTCATTTGGGAGTGTGGTAATAGCATTCCCACTAATTTCTTAAGTTTCATCTTAGGTTTCATTCAAAGATGCATTTTATAATTAAAACCCACGCTTTTAAATTTGAAGTAAGGTAAAAGATTCTAATATAAAGCACATCAAAGATGAATCTGTCCACAAGTTGGAATAAATTTCTTCTATTTCGTCATGGTTGAATTTCATTATAGATAAAAAATGTGAACATGGTTGAGGAGCAGCCACAGGCTCTTTACTTTCTTCTTTTAGAATTGGACCAGGAAAGGTTAAATCTGGTTTCATTGACTGCAAAAATTTTAGAATCAAGGAAGGTTGAATATGGAATTCTCAATGTTATGGTCAGTAAACTTTCCATCATCAAGATTGATATATTGGTGATATATCAATATATCAATACACTAGGAAAGTCAGAGAAAAAAAAAACACACACACATGCGAAAATGATGATAATGGAGATATCAGAGACTGAAACAATACAACATCAACTATATCCCAAACCAGTCTTACAATCCTGGAAATCAAACAAAACATCATTCGTGATAAAAATTTTCTCACCTCCCCATTGCACCCTCTTTCCTCCCTCCTTTAATCAAGTTAGTGATTTTGGTGCCGTAACAGGGCCAGCAATTCATCCGCTGTAACCTTACATGATGTGCGCATGCACACACATATAAGAATATCTACAAACTTTTAAGAGAAACTTGCCTTGCAAGTTAAGTTAAAGCACCAAAACCACCTCCCTTCATCATTTGCTTGAATTCTTTAAAATTAACCCTACCATCACCATCCACATCGACTTTCATTATCATCTTCTTGCAATCTTCAATGGTTTTCCCTTGTTTAAGACCAAGTGAAATCAAAACAGACCTCAACTCATCAACAGAAATGTAACCATCTCCATTTTGATCAAAAACATTGAAGGCCTCTTTCATGTCTTCCTCTTCATCCTTATCATCAATGAGAGATTGATACAACTCACCAAACTCATCAATATCAACACAATTATCGCCATTGACATCGATCTTTTCGATCATTTGGGTTAACTCTTCATCAGGGATAAAAATACCCATGTTCTTCAATGAATCATTCAACTCTTCTTTTGTAATCCTCCCATCTCCATTCTTGTCAAACATTTTAAAAACCCTCCTTAACTCTGCATCATCCATTCTTTTGTGGCAACAAGGAAGGGATGCCAATGCCAACGCCAATACCGGTGCTGGTGCCGGTGAAGTGGAGGTGTATGTTTTGGTTTCACCGCCGGCAGAAACAAGGGTGGTGTGGGTAGGATTAATCTAGGAGGGGGCCAGGAAGGACTTGAGTTTCTAAGGGACCAAACAGTCTAAAACAAGATTGTATAGTAAGAAAATCCTTTAAAAAACGGTTGGCATTGAAAGGAAAAAAGACACCAAAACAATGAATTTTCTTTGGTGGAAAGAAAATTTAGGAGCAAAATTTGGAGAAAAATTAGTTGCAAAATTGGAAGAGAAGCCAAACCCTTTTTAGAGAAGTAAGGCTATAACATGATGTTTTTATTATTGTTGCATTAAATTATTATATTAATTGTTTCCAAAAACACGTTTTTTTTAATTAAATAATTGGACCGTCGATGGCAAATCTTAGGGAAAAATTTTATGTTGGGGACAACTATAAAGACGGGGTCGGCTGATGATTTGTGACCGTTGGATATTTATTTTTCCTCAACGGTTTGTTTTCGGGTGTTTGAAACGATGACGACAAGTGGCAGTTTCTATATGCAGAAAGCCATGAATTTGATTTGTTCATGGATAGAAATATCAGATATGGCACTAATAATATGAATTCAAATGTTAGTTTTAGTGATATTTATTTAGTTTAATTTTTTATTCAAATGTCAAACAGCTGGGCATTAATGGTGTCATCTTCTGCAAGTTTTTTATTTTTTTATTCAAGAGGAGTAGGGTCGTACATTAAGAGGAGGGAGAAGGTTGGGTTTGAAACCTGATATCCTTTTTAATATTATCTTCACCACTAAATCAAGCAGTCAAATATATTTTCTCGAGTTATTTTAATTGATTATTGCTTTTATTATAAAATTGATTTAAGTCATATTTAGTGATGGCATCGGGTCGGGTTCGGGTCGGGTTTTGCTCGCCCCGAACCCGACCCGATTTATGCTATCCTAAACCCGAACCCGATCCGATCCGAATTTTTTAAATACACGAGTCCAACCTGATCCGATACTATGTAAATCGTATCTGATCCGATCCGAATCGAAATTAATAAAATATTATTTTTAAAAATATAAAATATTATTTTTTAAATATAAATATTTAAAAATATCATTATATAAATATATATAATTAATTAATTAATTAATTAAAAAAATAATTTTTTAATAATATCGGGTCGGGTAGAGTCGGGTTTTAGGCATACCTGAACTCGACCCCCGAACTTGACCCGACCTCGATTGTACTTAATTTTACCCGACCCAACCTAAACCCGAAACCCGAAATTTAAAAAAAAAAAACCCGACCCTATAGGGTCGGGTCGGGCCGAAACCCGTCGGGGACAGGCTTGATTGCCGTCCCTAGTCATATTAGTGAAGAGTTGACTGAGCCACTGAAATGCTCCATCCAGAAGAGACAAGTAGAACTTACTGTTAGCCATTTTGATCACAGCTAGTCATTTCTTTAGGGAACACTTGTGTCTGCAACTCTTTTATGTGTCTTTCAGCTGGTTTCTGCATGTTACCTTGAGGAAAAAGATTGCATTGGATTAGCTAACCCCTTCAATAATAATGACTTCGGATATACAATGTATGAGTAGCTTGGTGCCTTAAACTCTCAACTTGATATATTAATATTGGGAGAACGAAGACAATGACTTTAGGGAAACTAAGGCTGTGTATAAAGGTATAATCAAGTCGAATCGAGTTGATACAATAAAAAATTTGAGTTCGAGTTTAATTCCTAACTCGTAACTCGATGTTCGGTTCAAATTCGATCGAGTTTCATTTTTTTTAGTTTGAACTTGATTCATGATCGAAATTGAATTACTAGAATTCGCTCGATTAAGTTAGATTAATATATAAAAATAAGCTCGATTCATATATTTGATAAAAATTTGATTATTTGTGCTCGAATTCGACATATTTTATTAATTAAAATAATAAAAATATATTTAAATATAAAAATTCGATTAGGTTCGCGAGCTACTTGAGCGGATATAAAAAAAACTCAAACTTTGCTCGATCGATAAGTCGAACTATTTGAGCTCGAGCTCGACTCGATAATAATCGAACCAAATTCAAATTTTATTCAAATCGAATTCAAATATCTTGTGAGTATTAATGTATCATTTACACCCATAATTGTATAAAAATAATAAATGCATATGGATTTAAACTTCCCAATTATATCGATCATTCCACTTTGAAGCAAAAACTGTCCACAATTGTTCTCGTCCTTGAAAGGTAATAATTATATAGAGCTACACTTAATTTGTGAAATATTATCTGTTTTAATCAAAATATTTTATGATTTTATTTTATAAAAAATATTTCACAAGTTTGAGTTTAAGCCTCTACATATATATTATATATATATATATATATCATAGCAAGATCCTCAAAGCATCCTGATATGGGATTAAGACGTTATAAACTTTTCCTGTTAAAGCTTGACGAATTACAACAAACGTTAGACAAGCTTAAGACAAAGCATACATAGATCGTAGAATTACATAAGATGTTGAGATTATAGAAGTGACTCTCACCATATACACTTAGCTCATGTCTGACTGATGATTGCTCCGATACCATTTATGAAGCCTGCATCTAACTTGTGAAATATTATTTGCTTTGATTCGAAAATCTTACAGTTTTATTCTACAAAAAACAACTCATGGGTTTGAGTTTAAACCTTTACATATATATTATAGTAGATCTTCAAAACATCTCGATATGAGATGGTGATGATATAATAACAATTTTGATTGGATCAAATTTGATTCAATTTTTTTAAATAATGCAAAGTATTATAAAATCTTTAAAATTCTATCTTAATTTACACAAGCCTTTTTTAAACCGATCCAATTCTAACCAAAATTTATTGGTTCGATTTATTAGTTTTTAACTTTTATTTTTTTAATTTTTATATATTATTTTAATAAAATTTGTAATATACTTAAATATATTTATATATAAATAATTATTTTTATTTTATAAAAATTTAAAAAATATATAAAAACTCATTAAAATATATAATTCAGTTTGAATTTTTATTTTGATTTTTTACATCTTAATTTAAAATTCAATCTAAACTTAATATATATATTATTTAATATAAATCAAATAAAAAATTAATCCAAATAAAATCAATTTTCTAATTTTTCAATTTTTTTATCCTCCTTGCTTTATCGTTGCCCATTTAGGCCCATATTTGGCTGCACAATAAGCATCAGTAGTTGAGTTCCACGTCCATCTTTCGACTTCAACACCGGCAGCGACCAGTATTCAAGAGTCTTAACCTCAAGACACCATGGTAGGAGGCCAAAACAATTTGGACGTCGCCCTGAAATCACTACTGTAGTAAATGGACTCAAGGACGACGTGATATCCCCGATCCAAACAGACCCTCAAATGGAGCCTGCTTGCAAATCTTACCTCCCCATTGTTTTGATTATCCTGTCCAACGTTTTCAAGATCATACCAGTTAGCCTGCAGAGGTATAGAAGGCAAACCCTTCTCTACTTCTGGTAAATGATTAATCCTGCGGCATCCAATCCATGATACGAAATAAAAAAATAAAATAAATACGAAATCGTATGTTACATCTCTTTTATAAAATTATAAATAAAATCAAATAAATATAAATATATAAATACAACACATTGAAAAACTGCAAAAGAAGAAAAAATCTCAAACTTTGAAATTTTATTTGATGAAACTTTCATTTTTTTATATAAAAGAAAAACAAGTAAAAAAGGATGCTTTTATTTGCATCTTCTTTTTTACTTTTCACACTCACTGTTTTTTTAAATTATTTTTAAGTGAAATTATTTAATTATTTTTTAAAATTTCTAAAAGTTTCTTCATATTTGAATATGGAAGCTTTTCAAAACTTTCAGATTCTTATATTCCAAAGCTTTTAAAATTTTCAAATTTAAATAGCTTAAAATTTTCATTAAGAATATTAATTGTTTTGCTTCGCTTAGATGGTTGAAATAAGAAGAATTTTAAAAGACTCATATGTTGTAATTAGATGCTCTTTTTATTAAAATTATAGTTTTTGTCTATTAATTTGTAAATAAACTTATAATTATTTAAAATAAATTTTTTTTTTGTAATGTTATAAAAATTATTAAAGATACAAGATTTTTTTAATTGATTTTTTAGATTTAACATTTAAAATTTAGTGTTTTTGGATTTTGAGTTTAGAGTAAATTATTTGACTTATCAATACTTATAATCTTTTAAAAGTGAAAAGAATAATTAAGTTTATTTAAAAATAATTTTGAAAAAAAATAAAATAAATGTAAGAAAAAAATTTCATTTAAAAGCTCTCAATAGAAGGGAGCGATTAAGTACACTTTACCTTTTTTCTTTCTACATTTCTTTTTTTTTTTTTAATTTTTATAAGTAGAAATATTTAAATATCATTCTCACAAGTGTTTTTATATCTATATCTAATAAATTTTATGATTTTTTGGAAATATATTTTCTATAAGTACTATAATTTTCAGAAATGAATTACTAAAAACTCATAACATTTCTTAAAAATGTATTTTCAAAAAATTATAACACTTCTCAAAATATTATAAAGAAAAATTTTTTTTTTTTATGAAATAGTGTAACGAAAAAAGTTATTACTAAAAAATTATAAATTTTAAAGTTAATGAAAATTTTTATTTATTATTTTAATTTTAAAGAAAGAATAAAATGTTATGAGGTCTTAATTAAATTAAAGATAAAATAATAAATATAATTTTTTATAAACTTAAATTTTATCAAATTTTAATAAATAATTTTTGTATCGATTATTAAAATTTTGTAACAGTTCTAATTAATTTTAATTTATTAGAAAAATCTCTCTATCTATTTATCATAATATTTTTCTCCAATTAACATATTAAATCTTGAAAAGAGTTGCATAATATTCAATAATATTATTTATACAATTTTAAATAATTTTCAACTCTTATATGTTGATAAGATCTTATAATTCTTTTATTATTTTTTGTAATATCAAGAGATAAAATATTTAATTAGAGTTTTATAAGATTTTATTCTTTTTTAATATCAAAATAATATAGGTAAAATTTTTACTAATTTTAAAAATTATAATTTTTAAATAATAATTTTTTATTACATTAATTAATAAAAAATTTAACAAAATTTCTTTTTTTTTTGTAATTTTCTAAAAACTTTCAAAAAAAACATTTTTTGAAGTGTTATAATTTTTCAAAAATGCATTTTTTATAAATATTATGATTATTCGATAATTCATTTTTGAAAAATTGTAATACTTTTTAAACATACATTTTTTAAAAATCAGAAAATTTATCAAATAAAAATATCCAAACACTTAAAAAAATATTTAAATAATTTTATTTAAAAATATTAAAAAAAAAGAGTGCTGAGAGAAAAAAAAAAGAGTGCATTTAGATTTTCCCTCGATAAAAAAGAGTAGAACAAAAAGCAGAGCAGATTTAGTCCAAAATAATCCGTTATTTACGGGAGTGCCATTCCCATACATCCTATCTGAATCTACTGCAAAATAAGATTTTCAAACAACATCTGCTGACTCTTGTCCTCTCTCTCTCTCTCTCTCTCTCTCCTTTGCTCAATAGTAAAGCCTTTTTTTGTTTCCCTTCATTTTCCACCACTTTCTGAGCCACTTTCCGGCAAAAAAAACTGGATCAGGTAAAATATTCGCCTTCCATTTCCTCATATTTTTCTTCTTTCTTCTCTTCTAGAAAAGAAAATCAACCTAAAAATAAAATTGTATATTGACCTTTTCTCAACAGTTTTCTTACTCCGAAAATGTATGAAAATTAATTATAAAAGAAAAGAAAATGTATGAAAACAAGAATAAAAAAAGTCACGCTCTGTCTTTTCGAATTATTTTCTTTTTTTAATACTTTGAGATTTCAACTTCGTTAGGTGAAACTCTCCACTTGAGCTATTTAAATTTTTTTTTAAAAATTTTTGTAGGTTTTACTTTCTTTTCTTTTATTTTATTTTCCAACGGTTTCTGCGTAACCAAATAGGGTTCGTGAGAAAACGTGACTCTATATCTCTTTTTTTTTTTATCCCTTTTTCTTTTTTGAAAAATTTTCTTTGGCGTGTGTGTGGTTCTTAAAATGGAGTAGTTTTAAGGTAAGAATATCGAATTTGATATTTCAAATTTTTTGTTATTATTTGTTTAATATTCGTACTCTATATATATACTTTTAATTTGGTATTATTGATGTTTGAAATTGAAATTTATGTAACTAGTTAGAGCAAGAACTTTCATTTGTTAAGTGAATTGAATGATGCAAAAATTAATTTGTTGGCTGTTGTTCTTTATAGATTTAATTGGTAGAAAATAGATGGCAAATAGGGAAGATGAGGGTTTCTATCATAGCCTTTCAAGGAAAGAGCTTCAAGGCTTGTGTAAGAAATATGGTTTACCTGCCAATAGGTCGAGTTCCGATATGGCTAAATCACTGGCCTCTTATCTACAGGTAATTTGTTGAGCTAGCAATGGTTGGTAACTAAGAGTCAAGAATGTGAAGTATATAATAGTGCTTTTCGTTGTTATTTAGCTGTTAGATATGTCAACTTACTGTAGTTTATAGTTTCATTCTGCTATATTTATGTGCCTTGGTATGTTGTATTTGAGCAGATAATTGTATGTTGGCATGTTTTATTGATAGGAGTAATTGATTAGAATTTAAATGTAGTTTTAGAACTTTCTTAATATGAAAGTTGCGGGAAAAAGGAATTCTTCGAGTTTCAAAGTAGAAAGCAAGTAACGGATAAAAAAGGGTTGTGAAAATTTATATTGAATGTCCTTTCTGTTGGTCGAGGATACTTATTACTACTTATGAAAATGGATCCAAATAAAAAAAAAAGGAAAAGACGATAGGTAAAAAGGGAAAAAATAAAAGGAGTTTATAAGAACATAGAATGGAATTATGCCAAGGAAATCATTTTAAATTCCACAGTTGTTATTTTTGCTTTCCTGTTTTTTATATTTTAATAATGAAGAAAAATTTTAGGATGAAGTGTTCAAATTTTTTAAGAAAGCTCAACTAAGATAAATATGATGCTAGCGAGCATAGTACAGGAGGATTCTAGCCAATGTCTACAGTAATCTGATGTCAAGGCGTATCTTTGCAACAAAGTTGGCACCACCGTTGATTAAGAAAGTATTTTATGAAGCAATTGCTCCATCTGATGCGCTATCACATCCATTTATTAAATTGACACATCATTCATGATAAGTGACAGGTTGTTTCTTCAAATAAGGAAAGTAGATATGATCGGGAAAAAGGAAAGTTTGGTGATGAAATAACGTGCAAATGCTTTTTTGGAAGAATTTACTTATCTTTGGGAACTGATGAAATTTTAGTTTGTGCAAAGTCAAATTTTACACTAAGATTTTGTTAAAATTGGCATCTTTTGCAGTATTGCCTTGTTATGTCCACCAAATAAAAGCCTTGATGAGTATCTTAGGGTCTAATTTGGAGGATTTTATTGATTTCAAATGTAGTTTTAGGAAAGTGTCCCCCTACCAAATAACTATATCTTGTCAGAGTCAGAAAAAAAAGGTTTATGTTTATGCCATCTCATTTTTTGGATGTTCATAGTCGTGATATAAGGTTTTATTTATCTTAATTTGTGGCCATAAGTTTTGTTCTTATTGTTTATTAAAGAAGTTTTTGGCTTGTGGTGCAACTATTTGTCTCTGTAAATAGACATCTCTCTTAGCATCTCTTTTCTCAATCATGGTTCTCTTACTTTTTGTTTTCATGCCAAGATAAGCTGCTTCACTTACCATAGTGAATTTTATTGAATTAAGCCCATTCCGTTGGAGATGAGCTAATTTGATTCACATTTTTCATGCCAAATGAAACTTAAAATTTCAAGGCTGCTAGCCTAGGAAAATATGTGCACAAAAAGATGCAATCTATACCAATTCAATGTGTATTGGAGATTTTATTAGTTTGCTCACATCATCATCCCATTATCTTTTCCTTGTTTGAAAGTTCGTTCTTCTGAGTCTAGTCACTTGGTTCTATTTTTGTTTAATTAACATCTCTCTTCTTAATTTTACTGGTTCTAGCTAGGTCACATATTTGTGTACACCATTTGTTATTTGGTCTTTCATTTATCTATTATAAGTTAGTCTTAAATTTTTTTTCTTGCATGCATGTAATAAATCAATATAAATAATATATTACACAGGGAGAGAGATACATGTAGACATTTACGCAGTAATGATTTTGTGACTGTGCATATTTATTGCATGTTAAAGGCACTCGTCTATGGAGTTGATATTTCTATACAATATCACTTGTACAAGGTTTCCTTGTATTTTCTTTCCCTCATTTATACATTTGCTGAATTACTGTATTTAGTAATCTACATCTTGAGTTTACAAGAATTTCTTAAAGTTGCAAACTATATATATGTATATAACACACGGGGAGAGGTACATGTATACATATACAAGGTAATGATGTTGTGACTGTGCATATTTATTGCATGTTAAAGGCGTGTGTCTGTGGAGTTGATATCTCTATGCAGTATGACTTGTACAAGGTTTCCTTGTAATACATTTGCGGAATTAACATATTTAGTAATCTGGATCTTGAGTTTATAAGAGTTTCTTAAAGTTGCAAACTTGGATGCAAATGGTGCTGGCCTATCACAAACTAAACAAGCTCTGATATTTCCTTATTCTTCACATGGGTTTCTTATTTGACAAAAAAAAAGTTCCTAAGTTTACATAAATTTGAAGATCTTGTTTATCCCATCATAAAATATCCTGGAAAAAATATGCAGAACCAGGGATTGGTTTCAATGACCGCAGGAGAAAGATTATACGGTATTCAAGAGGCTGGACTTCCTTTGTCCCTGAAACTACAACTGCAGCCTGGAGCATCATTAAACTCTTTCAGGGATGCTGGAAAAGGTAACACTGCTTACTGTGTGCCTAATACGGTTGTGCTTAGTTTTCTCAAACTAATTTAGTAGTATGATTTCCTCACTATAATTGATGCATCATTGTATGAATATCATTTGGCTGCTTCTGCAGATTGCTATGGACTCATCTCTTGTCCCATAGACTGGTGTAATGGAGGGAATTATACTCAAGCTGTTAAATGTAATGCATTGGGTTGTTGTGCAGGGGATAAATTTTATCTAAAGGTTCGCTTCTATTCATGGATGTTTATATTTTTGGTGTGGATATTTTTTGACTTCTGATACAGCCAGACAAATCCCAAATGATTCCTATCTTGTTCTTCCCCAGCTCTTGTTCTCTCATCTGGCATGTGTTAGGTTAATGGATTTGTTCTTGATGAAATATGTAGACCTTCTTATCTATCCAGAAGTAAGAAGATTTCTTATTAAGCCCCCCACATCACCAAAAAAAAAAAAAGAAAAAGAAAAATAAACAATAATGGTGCACCATGAACTCTACTGGATGACACTTGCCTTTTAGTCTATGGAAGATGAAAAATTAAATTGAGGGCAGCTTTAAGTAAAATGTATGCTGGCAGAAAGATGTGGATGTTTTAACCTTCAATGCTTAATTGTTTGCTTTCAAGAACTGAAAACTTGTATGTAATTTTATGTGTCAATGCAGGATGGCTATGGTGATGGCTCTATATTTTTCCAGCAAACACCACATTCTCAGTTCGTTACTCAATATGATAACAGTGGTTTTAAGAATAAAGAGTTCGCAACAATATGCTTCAATAGAAATTGTTTGAGTTTCACAAGTGATGGAAGGATGAACAGTATCCCTCAAATTGAACACAAAGACACAAATGTTGGTGCTTGTTCTAATAAGACTGCCTTTCCTTCCTCGATAAATACTCCAGTGGTTTCTCCCTCTCCTTTTCAGTTTCATGTCAGCTCAGAAGAGGGAATTAACCTTTATGTTGATTTAAATTCAAAGCCATCAGAGTGGGTTGAGAAATTGAAAAGTGAGGTTTCTATATGCCAGAATATGTCCCATGGCAAATATCAGACTTTTCATAAGGAGCTTGGGCGCTTTGGAGAGAACAGTAAACAGATTAAAAGTTTTTTTCAGTTGAATGTAGATGCAGGGAAACAAAAGGATGGCCATGTACACTCTGGATTGCCCCCAAGTTTGATCATAAAAGAAAATAATCCATTGCAGCTTGATCATCCAGATGGAGATGATGGATCCTTGGGCTCTACTGTAATGACACCATGTGCCATAGCTGTAGATGTGTCAGAGCATTTAGAAGGAGATCAAGGACTGACCTTATTTAAAGTTCGTCCTGAATCCCGGGAGCAAATCATTCCTGGCGGTGCATCCTCTGCCAAAGATGGGTGTTTGATAACTCTTAATTCAAATATTAATTCTCCTATGAAGAAGTTAGCCAGTGATGCTGTATTAAATATATCAGATGGTCCACTAAATCTTCTCACAATGGAGCATCAGAATTCTAAACTTGAAAATGACATATGTGAGAATTCTACCCTGCAAAATAGTTGTAATCTTTTGAGTCCTGGTGGAATAATACCTGGATGCCTGCCGGATGGTTCATGGCAGATGCCAATTGTTCACCAGAAAGATGCATTAGATTCACCTTGCGAAGCTAGTGAACTTGTGGATTTGGTTGTTCCAAAGCACAATATTTATGCAGAACAAGTTGGTAGGTGGATCAACTGAGCTTGATCAAGAGACGTATAGGAACCGGCTGCCAACATTAGTTGAAGAACAGGTAAGAGTTCACCTCCTCTAGCTTCCAACTATAATAATACTTTAAAGCAAACTATTATAACTATGTGGCCGTATTTGGTTGATGTTTTACCCTCATTTTCATTTCTTGGTAATTGGCAAAATGTTGCATTCTTTGCAGCTCTATATGGTGAATGCATGTATATTAGTCAAGGAATTTGCTTGACATGTGTCTGCTTGCATGTGTGTGCCTTTGGGTCATTGTAAATCATTGACAGACAATTGAAGTAGCTGCATTTTTAAATGCTTTCATATTGTTTAGATACAATGTTTGGTCAGTATCAATCAAGGTCGGCAGAAAGGGAAAAAAAACAGATAACAGTAGATTACAAGATAACTAAATGAAGAAATTTGTTTTCCCCATTCCTTGTTCGCCTATGCCTTTCCTTCTCCCTACAGTGGCATTGTTTGTGAACTTTCATGTCTTGAGGCGGAAATGTGGATGCTGTTCATCAGTTTATATGTGCTTAGGGCATTGTTTAATAAGAAATTGGATTTAAAATTTGGCTTTTGTGAGATTGATTGATGGTTGATATGGGGATCCAATTTTAAGTAGTGGAGAAAGGAAGTACTAAACGAAAAAGGAAAGAAAAAAGAAGATCAAGACTAAAAGAGAAAGACTATGAAATTGGATGAAGTTCTGTTTTCGCAAGGAAAGCGAATAAAGCTCAAATAATTATACTTGTTGGATGTTTGTCCTTCATCAAAAAGAAAGATCGAATTACAAACCTTTTTATATACTGAAAATCTGATAAATATGAGTTATAACTTTTTAGTTAGATAAATCCTAGTAATCAGTTAAAGCCCAATCTGAAAAGCAAAAAGTAGTTAGATGCCCAAGCTATTGATTATGCATTATATATGCAAAAAAGAAAAAAAAAAGTGTTAATTTATTTTTTAAGTTTCAACAGTCAGTAAATAACACAAGTTGATTCCTGCTCTCTATTGTTAACCAAATAAGGTACTTGATGGTTGGAAGAATTAGGGTTTGGAACTAGAACTAAGTTACTAGAATTAGGTCTTATAAGCCTAGCGTATGCATATAACAGCTAGCTTGAGCATAAGTGAAAGAACTTAAAGAGGATAAGAACCTATATGAATAACCTGCTTATTGATGTGGATGTCTCATTACTTGAATATAAAAGACCATGATATATCAAATACGATATGACCTCTTAAACTTGTAGTATAAAGTTAAAGATTCAATGTGAATTAAGAGGAGATGAGTCAACTTTGACTGTCATATCAAACAAGAAGTCGTCTGATATAGCCATTGCAGTAACTTTAGTTTTAGAATTGCATATATTGCAATGTCCTTTCTATTGTAAAATGATGATAAGGTGGTTTTTTTTTTTTTTTATTATCAGTGGTTGTGATTCTCCCTTATCTAAGCAGCTGTCAATTAGTTGTGTGCTGTGAAGGACATCAATCTGTTTTGCTCTTTCTAAGTGAGTAGTTTTTTTTTTTATTCTTAATTAGATTACAGATAGGTCAGGAACCTTTTTTTCTCCTTCTCTCTAAATAGAACTATCTTAGAGAAAATAAACAAACATATATTTAGAGGGTATTATAAATGCTATTAATTTCTAAACTGCAATATCTTGTATTCAATTTTAAAGCTTATAGGTTAATGATCAATTTTATTTGGTGAACCCATACCTTAGTTCATCAGGCATCTTCTTTGTGGATGGTAATTTCTCTCATCCTGGTTTAACTTGTAGCATATTAATAACAGGGTGATGTTTTTCCATATATCCTCGGTTGACATGATGTTTGTACTCATTCCCTTCCTAATTTGGTTCTATTCTTATGATGTTTTCCATTGTGTTACTGTTCTATTAATATGAGTGCGAGAATTTACTAGTTGGCTATCATTTTGAGAAATATTGTTTAAGGTATTATTTTTGACATTTAAATTTGTAGATTGCTAAGTCATTTGACCATTCTTTTATGACTATCGTATCCCTAATGGGCTGATCATATGGGTAGAAAAATCTTCTTTTCTTATCTGTCTCTTTTAGATTAAATTATTTTCTTCCTTTTCCACTCCCTACACCACCACTGCATGAACAAAATAATTAACTTACAAAAAGAGAATTATCAAGTTTTCCTTGTTTTCTAGATGATAATCTGAATAATTGAGTTTAGTAAAATCAATTTATTTATTATTATTTTCTTTTGTTTTTCTTTTTGGAAGGGGAAGGAAGGTGGGCTTAGAAATCTAAATAAATATCTGTTTTCTCTCAGTATACTCAATGAAACAACTAAAAATTTTCCTGTATGAAACTGCTTGCAGGATAGGAGCAAAATTATTAATTGGGGAGAGAGTTCGGATTAATTATCCTTCTTAATTTAATTATGTACTAGGGAATATTTATTTTATGTGTTGATTTGAGTGCATAATTGCCGTTTCCAGACGCTCACAAGATGAGTAATTTGAAAATTTTGGAGGGCTTGAAACATTGAATCTAATGGACTTGGCAAAAAGAGGGCATATATTGATGGCAATCAAAATGATTGTAGCATGCTTGATGCCAAGATTTTAAGAAGCACAAACCATCTGGTTAGGAAGGTCCTTCTCCAAGGTTCTTTTTTAATGATTTCCTTTGTTTGTGCAATTAACTGTGGCATTTGCCACCCTGGTGAAATTGAGATTCTAGATGCACTGTTTTTGATGCAGAGCATGTGTTGTATGTTTGTCTTTAGTTAGCATATGTATATCTAATGAATTTTATGATGATAGTTATTTGATTGCATCATGCTTGATTGCATCTTTTTAAAGATAATACTGAATTTGAAATGTATGAATAGCGTATAAAACTGATTGGGGACCTTTTTTGTTCAATTTAAGAAAACATTCTCATTGCTGGTTTATCTTTTCTATTGTGTGCCTTCATAATTGTATGCAAACTCTGTTAATCTTGGGCTTGCTATAGATGAAGTTGTTTATACTTTCCAGGAAAGAGTATGCAATTAGTTAATTTCCTGGCTTTTGACTAAAACTAGTGATTAGTTAATTTCCCAGTATGGACAGGTCTAGTAGGTTTAAAGCTACCCTTGAGAACTTGGACTTTTAAACAAATAAATGAGATTACAATAATAAGTTAACTTTAAAATGAGCTCTTTTAGAGTTTTTTTTTCCTTTATTCTTTTGGGTTCTTAGTCAAATCCTGCTCTGTTAGTGGCAAAACTTGTGATATGTTTGTTAGCAGGCACAAATCAAATAAAATCCGAGGCAATTCGAAAGTATCCGTTACTTTATTGGGCGGCTTATTGTAGTCTTTTGTGGTGAACATGGAAGTTTCCAGATTTGTGATGTGGTGTATGTTTTAGCATTTCTTCACCATTTGTCTAAATATATTTAAATTTATTCTTTTTCTTCAGTGAGTTTGTGAAGTCTGTGCGGGCCAAATTCAAAGCATTGGTTTCAGTTCATGTCAGGAATTCAATATCGCAAAGCCGATTATTGTCTATAGTAAGTGTGAAGTACCCTCTCCTTCTCTCTTCTAAACCATGATGGAAACAAAACTAAAATTTTGCTTTATTTTCTACATAATAATTTAATTTGAGCCAATACTTAGCTTTGATTGAGTTTACATTTAAGTAAATAAGAAAATGTTGGTTTAACTGAAATAATTTATGCAACAAGTATATATTTCTTCCCTCACATGCCTGTATAGAGGGAGGGAAAGCGTGCCTGTTTCACAAGATGTTTTCTGTAAGTCAACAAGGTTTTGATCGCCTACTTGGGCGACATAATGATATTTATAACTAGTCAAATTTTATCATATTTGTTTTACATTTGTATTTTCTATGGACTGATTATTACTGATGAATGCATTTTTGGAAAATTGATTTGTGGTGATTGCTTAAAGCTATATCTAGTTTGCTGCTTTTTGTTTCCTCATACTTCATTTGACTAGCAAAATGAGCAATTAGCTAAAACTAAAACATATTGAACCAAATTCATACCCTCTTTTTTGCTATTCATCTAGGTCGAATATTAGCGAAAATAGTGCCAAATGAAGCCTTGATTTGTCCAAATCTCTGTTAGTAGCATTGTCATGGCAAAGAACTTATTTAGGGTTAAGGATCCAACTTCTACCTTGAGCTCAGTTGTCGAGAAATTTCGTAATGCTGCAACCTCTTACACATGATGTCGATTTCCTGCAGGTTGCTTCATTCTTTGGATAACAGTTCTTCTCACAGACATAATAAAGTGACAAAGGTATTATCATTCAAGTTGTTTGGTGCCTCCTAATTTTTGTTCTCTTACAGCAAATTTTCAAAGCAAACCATAAATTTTGAAAAGTGATGCATAAATAAAGATTATTTCTTTCTGCTAATGCCGATGTCGTTGTAGTTAAGTTTATTCCCCACAGATTCCTTTTAAACCTCTATATTTGTAGATTTTTCTGGGTTTTTAATCCTTCCGTCCTTCAAACAAATAGGGTTTCGTCACAGTCAAATTTCAGCTTTGTTCAATATTTTTGCTGTGGATTAATTTTGTTAGCCCCTTGAATTTGTTGGGTTTATTTGCTTCACTGTCTATCCAACTTCGCATCAGTGAAGTACACAATAATGGTGAGAGAAGGATGGTCTAAAATTATATATATATATATATTGGCAATGCTAACATTTGGAGAAGTTAAACCCTTCTAAAATTCTATCCAAATTAATTTTTAATTCCTGCTTATTTGTATTTCCTTAATTTAATATTACTATATTAAAAATTCTCACTTAATTTGTACTTTTTTTTTTTTTGAAATTCTTAATTTATTTTTAATCTTTTAATCTCTATGTACTTAATTAAACTACGGAAGACGTGTCAAAATTTTTTCAAACCCAAATAAAATAAATAAAAGAAAATATTTCGTCTGACATTTCAAAATTTTTTTAAAAATGCGGGATCCTAGATAGTTTTCGGATAATAATTTCTACTAACATAGTTCCAGCCTCTCTATTAACCGAATTTTCTATAGACTCAGATTTTCTTTCTTGTTCCTTCTTTTGTTTTCTTTTTTTTTTCCCTCGCTGAACATCAATGGCCAGCTTCTACCGTCCGTGGTAATTGGGATTGGGTGGCTATGGTAGAACAGATTGACGGTTGCAATGAAATTCAGAAGAAACTTGTGATCTTAATCTTCACGGCAAGCTCATTGACCAACAACTAAAAGAAGTGGTACAGGAATGCAATGCAGCGAAAGGGACGACAAAGAAGTTTCGTTTTTAAAGGTGGCAGTTGAAGTTGTTGTGAAGGAAGATTAAGAAAGCCCTTGATTATTGGCAACCTGGAAAGTTTTGTTTTGGAACAACAGGTTTGTAAGTTGATGCTGAGCAAAAAAAAAAAAAAAAAGACAATTTTGATGGCCAAGATTGAAGGGTTTACGACTAGAGTACACGACAAGATGGAACTTGATCGAATAAAAGTCGAATGTCGCGACGTGGATTGAGCTTTCCCCCGAATTTTTTTTATCATTATATGATAATTACATCATCATCATTTTTTTTAATTTAATTACAAAAAAATTTTGAATTTTATTCGAAGTATATTTTTTTCGGATTGCTTCAAATAAATTTATTTACATTCAATCTTACGAATTAATAAAAAATTATTTTTTCATAATCTTTTAGCGGATTCATCTCTGTTTAAACGAATAGAACATTAAAAACAACAACACATTTTTTTTTATCACTTAAACCAACAGTCTATCCGTATATCATCAACATTTAAACATGTGAAACTTACTCGAATATAAATGTACAGTGATCACAAGTACGTTGAAAAGTAACAAAGAGGAGGTCCAATCAGCATAATTTATGTACAAAACCTAATTTAATTAAAATTAATTTGATTGCAAAACTTTAAAGACCTACACCTGACTTCAATAGGAACGCCAAAGAATCCAATTCGAACAAGACTGGCTCCAATTACTACTTTTATCATAATAATAATAATAGTAACGCGGTTCCTTAAAAATTCAGCACAGATGCAAGCATTGAAATGCTTGAATCCCCTGAGGCAATGTGAAAATACAAACTAAGAGAATTCATGAACATTGTTTTTGGAGTAATGTTACTGTGTCACCAAACATGGTAAAACTTTTTTTAATGGAAAGAGAAGAAATAAGTATATTTTACACAACGGTAGGAATGTAAACGAATAAAATTTTTGATGAATCATTTATAAATATTTTTTACTTTTTGTTCATTTATTATTATTTATTAAACTCAACAAATGATCTTTAATAATATTTTTACTTTCGTTTATTAAATAAAAATAAATTAAACACAAATAAAGATCTATTTAATTCATTTATATTTGTAAATAAATTATTTAAGATTCCTTGAAAACTAATTCATTTGTTGTTTAGTAATAATAATAATAATAATAATAATAATAATAATAAAATTATATTTTTATGCTTTACCATAATTCTATTTTAAAATTAATTTATGTTTATTTAAATTTATTTGATTATGATTTGCTTACTATTCGTGAATATGTTTATTTATATATATTCATAAACATATTCATTTAATATTCACAAATGAATTTATTTAACTTAATCGAATCGAACGTAAATTTTTTATCATTTAAATGAATCAAACTCAAAGGAATAAAATATTTTTTTTTATTGAACACAAAACAAACCCAAACAATTGTAAAAATTAATAAACAAATTACAAATATATATTTATTTATTTATATTCAATTTATTTGCGTAGGATTATAAAATCCTAAAAAGCATAAACAACATACAAATCTAAGTAAAGGGGATGCTATAATCATACATTAATTAATTAACGTGAAAGACCACAAATTTAACAAAGATATGAATTAATTAATGTGAAAGATCGTTTATATTGGGTGACCCTTTTAAAATAATAATAATAATAATAATAATAATAATAACGTGAAATTTAATTTGGAAAAATTGCATTATGGAAGCATGGTCCCTTTCTTTTGTGACTGCTAGGTGCCCTAATCACCCATCATTATTATTTGAACATCAACATGCACACTTCGAAATTAATTCCTACACCTTTCTTTTCAAGGCGAGTCCGAGAGAAACGAATACGTCAATTTTTTCTTTTCTTTTTTTTAATTTCTCCAAAAAAAAATATTAAACTTTATCATGTTCATGGATCAAGCAACCTACTTGCATGATTCATATTCAAGTCGGATCTTAAAAAGTATTTTTAAAACTTGACTTGGATTGATCTTAGGATATTATTTTTTTCAATAAAAGTTATTATTAATTTTAATTTTAAAAAATATTTTAAAATAATATAATATTAATATAAAAATTTTTAAATAGATGAATCAGGTTAGATCCAGACTTGATATTTAAAAATGCAAACAGAAAACCAAACTTTATCTATCTCAAAATTGTTGCAATAGAGATAAATGTTAAATTATATATCTTTGCAAAAAGTTTATTTTTTTTTTCTTACAACCTTCTCATTTTTCTTTTATAAATTTGAGATTATCATAAATTTAATTTTTATTATTGAAACTAAGAGTCCAACATTCTAACAATAACATATACATTTTCATTATGAATTTTAATAATAATTTCAAACCAAATAACAGCATTTTTAGATTGAAATCCTAAAAAGGGATCAATAAGACTCATGAGATAAGAGAAAGTTATTTTTAATTGTATAATTCAAAACCTTTCATAGCTAATGTACAAAAATATTTTGCATAATTCTATTTAGAATAAAACCCTTAAATAAGTGAAGTTAAATCCACTCTTTTATTCTTCAAGTCATTTTTGGAAAAGAAAAGATTCTTCCAAGTTCCAACTTAAATGATTTTGTCATCAAATAATGAAATAAGTCTTTAAATTCATATTATTGAATGGGGAAAACTTTGAGAAACAATTTATTTTTAATTTTATTTTTTTCTTTTGGTTAACAATATATCCATCTATATATTTTAAATTTTTTTATATTAAACTTATGGATGTCAATAAAAAAAATAATTAACAATAGAATCTAAATTTTACAAATCAATTATTTGATTCTTATCATATAAAAAAATCAAAATTTTGGCTGAATTATTGAAGAGAAAAGCTGCTGCTGAGGGGATAAAAGTCAAATTTTAGTGTGTGAGAATTTATTATTAAATTATTAAGCTCGAAAAAATATGCAATCACACATGGTAAATTAAAGAAAGCTAGAAAAGTATAAGAACCAAAGTTTGAACTTTGAAGTTGGGCAACCAGTTTGAAAGAGAAATGTAATAATGCATGTAATAAACAGTATATATATCGAAAGTTTGTCAAGAGAAGATAAAAGAAAGATCACATGGCATTTAACTTGTCATTTATTGCCTTCACCAACCGTCGCCAATAGTGAGTAGCTGCAGTTTCATCAACATTTAATACACTTTCTCTTTCTCACTTCGTTCTTGGCTGCAACAACAGCAACCATTATCAACATCCCATTTTCACTAGATTTGTTGTCAAGAATTTCCATTTTATTTTCATTTACACTTTTTATAAAGTAACTACATGCAATTGTAAAGCAAAAGTTTGAGCTAGTAGCCAGGGTTTTGCCAGCCAGAAATGCTCACTCAACAACAGCTTCATAGCTGCTTAAGCTAGTTTGTGGCTCCAAATGTGATGTACTGAAAGTTGTTGGGATCACAAGTTTCAAAAAACCTTTGTGGGTGGTAAGTATTTCTTGACAAGAAAAAAGGAGAAAGAAACACAAACTTACCTGATATTTTAAGAACAGTGAAAGTGGTTTGGTTTCCATTCGAGACTTGCATAAATAAGGAGTATTTGATCTGGGTTTTCGATAAGGAGCTTCTGATATTTGGTTTTGGTCACATCTCAACTCCATTACTATTTTCTTGATGGAAATCATGTTTACACTTTATACTACTGCTGATTAATTTTTGCTCTCTTGAAGCATGAATGCAAATGGTGCATTATGAGGTTTGAATATAGAATTTGGCCTTCCCAAAGGCATTTTTACATCCCAGACTGTACTATTTACTGATTTATTATATGCATTCTTGGTATAAAAGAGAAGCATGCAACTCAAAAGCATTAAAACTGTCTTATTCAAATTCTAGTCCTCGTGGCCCATTATCTGAAGTTTAGTGTTGATGTGGGTGTGGATTCCATTGTCTTTGAATAGTTAGGTTCGAATTCTGCAATGGGAGATATCAGCTTAGTGCTGAGAGGTTCCTCTCAGTGGGTCTTGATGAGCACATGGAAAGTTGAATTTCTTGTACAACTTGTGGCTTTATTAAATTTGTGGTGGGTAGTTTCAGGTTTAGGCTCAATGTCTACCATTGCCATTTCTTATGGTGAGAATGGTCCTGTCTTCTGTGGGTTAAAATCCGATGGTTCTCATCTTGTGACCTGCTATGGATCGAACTCGGCGGTAATATATGGGACCCCTTCTCATTTCCCATTTGTGGGTCTAACTGCTGGTGATGGCTTTGTTTGTGGGTTGTTGATGGATTCCAACCAACCTTATTGTTGGGGAAGCAGTGGCTATGTCCAAATGGGAGTTCCTCAGCCAATGATCAAGGGAGCTGAGTACATAGAAATAAGTGCTGGAGATTACCATTTATGTGGTTTGAGAAAGCCTTTAACAGGAAAGCGAAGAAATTATGCTTTGGTTGATTGTTGGGGATATAACATGACCAAGAACTATGTATTTGATGGGCAGATCCAGTCAATCTCTGCAGGCTCTGAGTTTAATTGTGGATTGTTTTCTCAGAATAAGACTGTTTTCTGTTGGGGTGATGAGACCAGCAGCCATGTCATTGGCATGATTCCAAGAGAAATGAGGTTTCAAAAGGTTGCAGCTGGTGGTTATCATGTGTGTGGAATTCTGGACGGGTTGAATTCTAGAGCCTTTTGCTGGGGAAGGAGCTTGAACCTTGAAGAAGAACTCTCAGTGGCATATTCTCGTCAAGGAAATGTTGATTTGCCACCAAAAGATCCGATGCTTACGGTTGTTGGAGGAAAATTCCATGCTTGTGGGATCAAGAGCAGTGATCATGAAGTGGTTTGCTGGGGTTTTATTGTCAAACCAAGTACCCCAGCCCCTAGAGGCGTTAAAATCTATGGAATTGCAGCTGGAAATTACTTCACTTGTGGTGTTATAGCCGAGAAATCCTTTCTCCCAGTTTGTTGGGGTGTTGGCTTCCCTAGCTCATTCCCTCTAGCTATCTCACCTGGACTTTGCAAAGACACTCCTTGTGCATCTGGTTCCTATGAAGTTACTCAAGACAATGCACCTTGCAAGTCTCCTAACTTTCATATTTGTATGCCCTGCAGCAATGGCTGCCCTCCTGAAATGTACCAAAAATCTGAATGTACTTTGAAATCTGATAGAGTGTGTGATTTTAATTGTTCTAGTTGTAACTCAGTGGAATGCTTCTCAAATTGTTCTTCTTCAGATTCTGATGCTGCTAATGGTAGAAAGAATGAAAGGTTTTGGTCACTGCAATTGCCAATCATCATCGCGGAGATTGCCTTTGCTGTGTTGCTGATGACCATTGTGTCCTTAACTGCAGTTTTGTATGTTCGCTACAGGTTGCAGAGCTGTCACTGCTCATCAAATGAGTCGAAGTCCAAGAAAGCTAATGGGAGTGCTTCTTACCAAAAAGACAATGGGAAAATCCGTCCCGAACTGGATGAGCTTAAGATCAGGAGAGCTCAGATGTTCACTTATGAAGAACTTGAGAAGGCCACAGGTGGGTTCAAAGAAGAATCCGTGGTTGGAAGGGGAAGTTTCTCATGTGTTTATAAGGGGGTATTGAAGGATGGGACTGTCGTTGCAGTCAAAAAGGCTATAATGTCTTCGGATAAGCAGAAGAATTCAAAAGAGTTCCACACAGAGCTAGATCTACTGTCAAGACTGAACCACGCCCATCTATTGAATCTGCTCGGCTATTGCGAAGAAGGTGGAGAGCGGCTTCTTGTTTATGAGTTCATGGCTCATGGATCTTTGCATCAGCATCTTCATGGAAAGAGCAAAGCCTTGAAAGAGCAGTTGGATTGGGTCCGAAGGGTCACCATTGCAGTCCAAGCTGCCCGGGGAATTGAATACTTGCATGGTTATGCTTGTCCACCAGTGATTCACAGGGACATCAAATCCTCAAATATTCTCATCGATGAAGAACACAATGCTCGAGTGGCTGATTTTGGTCTCTCTTTGCTAGGACCTGCCGATAGTGGCTGCCCATTAGCTGAGCTACCTGCTGGAACACTTGGTTATCTTGATCCAGAGTACTACAGGCTTCACTACCTCACAACTAAATCCGATGTCTATAGCTTTGGTGTGTTACTTTTGGAAATTCTAAGTGGACGAAAAGCCATTGACATGCAATATGAAGAAGGGAATATTGTGGAGTGGGCAGTTCCTCTGATTAAGTCAGGAAACTTACCTGCAGCTCTAGATCCAGTCCTGAAACCTCCAGCTGACCTTGAAGCCTTAAAAAGGATTGCAAATGTGGCTTGCAAATGTGTTAGAATGAGAGGAAAGGAGAGGCCATCAATGGATAAAGTGACCACAGCCTTAGAGCGGGCTCTTGCACAGTTGATGGGCAGTCCATGTAGTGAACAACCAATTTTGCCAACTGAGGTGATCCTGGGAAGCAACAGATTGCACAAGAAGTCCTCTCAAAGGTCTTCCAACAGGTCGGTCTCGGAAACTGAAGTAGCAGAACCTGAGGATCAAAGGTTTGAGTTCAGAGCTCCTTCATGGATTACTTTCCCAAGTGTCACTTCTTCTCAGAGGAGAAAATCTTCAGCATCGGAAGCAGATGTTGATGGAAAGAACTTAGAAGGAAGAAACATGGGCAATGTGGGGAGTGTTGGGGATACTTTGAGAAGCTTGGAGGAAGAGATAGGTCCTGCTTCTCCTCGAGAAAGCTTGTTCTTGCAACACAATTTCTAAAATGACTCCAGAGACTGTTGAATTGTTATCTGTGGTGGAGGGATGTGATTCGTTTGTTGAAGGAAATGGAAATGGAAATGTAAAAATGGAGAATGGGAGGATGTAATTTCAGGATTTCTAGTATTGCCACTACGACTGCCTTCTTGTTTTGTAACTTACAGCTGCTTAATTTTGTGTGATTCAACTCTGACAAATTGGATTTTTTTTTTCTATGAGAATTATATTTTTTTATAAAAGAGACCATAATCCCAAATGATATAATGAATAGCAGACGTTGAGATTTGATTTTCGGAGTTATCGAATATGACTTTTTAAAGATTATTACATGAACTAAGTATCGGATTAAAGCTATATTTAGACCTTATTGTTAATGTGCAATCTTTCTGGTGGCTAATGTACTTCTTGTTAATTCTTTTTATTGGACGTCTCTTTTATTGCTAATGGATGAAATTCCTGTTTGCTGTTCAGTTGCTCAAAATAAGCAGCCGGCAATTTTTTTTTTTTTATCATGCAAATAACTGCCATTTTCTAGTTCATATCAATGACAAATTGCTTGAATTTTTCAATTTCCTTGCTACAATAGAAAAAGTAAAGGATTAAAATGAAATTGTTTTGAAAGATTAAGGACTGAAATCGAATAATACAAAAATTAAAAACTGTAAGTAGAACAAAATTAAAAGATTATGGATTATGGATGAAATTTACCCTTAATCAATAATTCGAGGATGGCACACTACCATGCCTAACGTAATCATCTTCAAAGAAAAATCTAAAGACTCTTGTATTTGCATGGATGCTTCAACATAAATTAGCATGTCAATGGCATTTTGCTTCTAATTCATACAACAATGTCATACATGCAACTCCACGCATTTCTGTTCAAATGGGTAATATGAAAAGACCAACAGGTAAGTGTATAGTTTCTCTGCAAAAATTTACCCTGTGAAAGTCGGAAGCCTTTGACAAGTGCTCGGGAACAAACAGCCGAGAACAGATTTGAGACGTGCTTCATGCCTGAAATTTTCACAACAATTTCCTTCAATATAACAATTAAAATTAGATATTTATCAAGGTTAAGGTTGTGCTCACCTAAAGTTTTGCAACTAGATTTAGAGGTAACCAAATTATTCTCGAAGGGCAGTTAGTGGTTAAACTAATTAAAGATGAACCCAGGTCCATTGGCTTAAATGTGTTTCGTGCTGCATGTGCACCATGGAGGCCAAGGACCAAGCACTGGATATGGAACACAACACTAAGGCTCAAGCAACAGATCGTGTGATCAAGCCCCAGGGTGAGAAACAAGGTGCTGAGCGTAAGGGTCCATTCAAGAAGGTTCCAGAATGCTCTTGGAGCCATGAGCAGGTGCCAATACCAGAGCCCGTGACAAATGCGTCAACTTAGTTGAAATGGACATGAAATATAACCATGAATTTAAGGATGAAATCTTAAAACTTATTTTAACGGATGTTCAATTGCTTTAACAAAAATTATAAAGTCAAAGAGATTAGTTCATCTTCATCATGTTAGAAGGCAGGTAACATAAATTATTCTCATTCAATGACTTGAATATTTCAAAAGCTTACAAATCAACAAATGACAGCTAAGCTAAAAATGTGTGATCAAAAAAGAAAAACTGTCCTTCTCAAATTATTAGTCCTACATAATTTTTTTTGTAAAGCATTACAAACTCCTTTTATTCTATCAAAGGGCAATAAGTTCTCTTCCTAAAAAACGTTTTCACCGCTCCTACTTGTCAATAACATTGTTCTTAATTTCTGACATGGAAAACGAATCCTACTTGACAATAAAAAAGTAAACCAAACTCACCAAAATGATGCACTATGCACAGGGGCAAAGCCTCCTGGTATGCCGATGTGAACCATCACAAGACAGCATTGATTGTGTTTGTGTATACAAGCATGCTCCTGGATTCTGAAAGACAGGGAATATATAATTCTCAAGTTTTATTTCTAACTTTCTTATTTTATTGATAGGATTTCAATTTTACAATATGATTTGCGTTTCGTAAAAATGAAAAACCAAGTAGAAAGTAATTATTTCAATTATGAGCATAAAAAATAAGTTTATCACATAGTTTAATTTACTTCCATGGCAAGGTAAGCAACTGGGGATGATATAGCTACATGCTAATGAAAGTTTCAAAAGACATGTTCAAACCATTCCAACTAATCAATAAATTGTCAGGTAGATATACAGTTCTGCAAATATAATGCTTTATGGAAAAAAGGAAATATACCAAATGTTTGGGAGCATCATCAGCAACTTCTGCTGGCTGATCAGCTCCAACACTTGCCAAGCATGCTCCTTTGCAGCTCATATATTTCTGGATACTGTTTACAAAAAATAACTCAAACCAAAATCTAAGAAGATATTCGAAGTGCAGGAAACATATCAATATAAAATAACTTCAAGCACAAATTGTTAACAACCTCCCTGTTTGATTACAACTACACTTTCCTTGGATGTTATAAACCAAAAATAAAAAATATGTAGGGAATACAGCATATTTAAAAGGATTGACAAAATTCAGCTGATTCAGTAGTAGTTTTTCAAAAGTACAACCAGGACAAGTGTAATAACAAGAAGGCTTCCATAATTTACCCTAACTTTAACAAAACCACCTAGCATCATGCTCGTAAGGCAATCTCTCTATCATTTAATGGTACATAATTTTCAGCAAAATTTTTTATGACGCAAAAGACAAACATAAAATCAAAATAGGTAAAGTGGAGAAATCACCATAAGATGTAGTAGATAGTTGAGGCAGTTTTTGCATGAGGTTATTTTGTTCTTCCTCACTTACTTTTGTTAATTGATTGGCCTTTCAACTTGTAAGGAGCCAAATTAAGCTCAGCTCGAGAAGGCTACTGAAGCTCACCCTTGTGCCTTAGGCCATACACATAGTGTGAGGAGAAAGAGGGTGACAAAGGGAAAATAAAAGCTTGTCTGTTCTCTTTAAAAAAAAAAAAAAAGAAGAAATAAAAGCTTGTCTCTTAACAGGAAGCTAAAGAGAATATCTAAAAAAAATAGAGCTACTGCAAATTATCCCAACCCATACAGCATGTCGGAATTCATGTGTGCATGTCCGTTTTAGGCTCTTCTCAAACTGCATGTAGTTCTTTATGTGTAGTATGTTTCTTGCAATTGCAGGTAGATGAGATCAACCAAACAGATGAAGACACTCCAAAAAATATTTAGCCACGTACTCGAGCAAATAATGAACAGCAAAACCAAATATTAAAAAAAAGAAAAAAGGAAAAAGATGGTGAAGAACTTACATATCACACTGGTTAAGTATCAAAAGCTTGTTGAGTACACATGATTGTCCATTTAACTTGCAAACTGAATCACAAGACTCTCCTTGTCTTTGTTTCATGGGAAAAAGAGAAAAAGTATTAGCACGACAGAGTATTACAAGTTAGAATCAAGAAACAGAACCAATTGCAATGGACATTCACCTTCCAATTACAACATTAATTCCATTTAGTCTGGCTTCTAAAGGTGTGACAGTGGACCCTGTTGCAAGGAAAATTCAACCATATAATTTAATACTAAATTGCTGCCAACAGAACTGAATCAGAAAGAGAATTGTTGATTCAAACAGCATAGCCATACGAATTCAAAAATATCAAAAGAAAGGGTGTCACTATTGTGCACAAAAATATATATAAGATCGTTTCTTATATTTTATGGGCTCAATAATGATTTTACAGTATTTAACATTATCCAATTAATTAGTCTATTCTTATTTAGCAAGTATTGTGGAGTAGTTTATATCACTTTCTACAAGCTTTTAGATTATTGAGATCCCCTCTTTTCCATTCCACGGCTCATCCATTACCCTCTCAATTTCCTCTGTTTCTTTCCTTTCATTCTGATTTCTCTCTGTTCTTTCTTTTCTCTTTCTTTTCATATCTTGTGCTACATCAGAGGACCAGAATTTAAGAAGAAGATATAAGGTTTGCAAATGTAAAATATCTACAAGGGATGAGCCAAAGACATAATAATAATAATAACATAAAAAGAGAAGTTATGTCGAAATGTACCAGAAGAATTTGATGGCAGAGAAAAGCAATGATGAAATTCGCTAACATAAGCATTTTCATGAACCTGAAACATAAAGCTCATCTAACCAACCTTTGTCACTCTTATTTGAATCACATATATTACCTAAAGAAATGTCACTAGTGAAGAAAATGACACAGGTCATTAAATTAAATGGAGGCCATTATTTTGGTTTGTGACTAATATCATTAGCATCACAGTCTTTACCACCAATGATTTCCAGGAAATGATACCTAGATATCTCCTTTTTCTTTCAAAAATAAAAAGAAATGATCCAGGGCACCGAAAATATATTCCTATATCTATAGAATATCACTTACCACACTTTCAGAGTTATGACGACACCTCCCAGCACAAAAATCAAAGACGCTCATATAAGTTCCTGCCAAAAAGAGGCAAAAAAGAAACAGAAGAAAGAAAAGTTATGATGACCTAGCACCTCTTAGAGAATCCATTAAATGGTAGCTACAGCATGGTTGAAAGAAAATCAGTAGGACAAACTACCACACCAAGAAGATAAGGGTCAGTAATTACTCAGAATCGGGAATAGACCAATCAAAATAAATTTTTATCTTAATTTTTAATTTCGTAGTCCCAAACTTAGGCACAACCATCTCAAAAGAATATTGCAAGAGCTTCTACCATAGGAGATTTCTAAGCAGCTAATATAGTGCCAGATAAGCTATCTTACAAACTGATGATTCGTAAGAAAGGAAGCAAAAGAAATACCTCAAAAGGAGTTAATGATGTATAATTGTCATAATGTGAAAATATGCTTTTAGAAAAAAAATGTCCAAAGAAATAAGAGTATCTGAGGTTTTTTATTGCAGCAGATAATAATGGTTGAAAATAAGGTTCTTATTAATCACAAACATGTTGCCATACAAAATGGCATCAATTTAGAAGAGACAAGTATCAGAAATGTTAATGGCAGACTGTTTTCATGCCATGAAAACAGACATGAACATTCTAGCAGAAGCAGGAAACTTCATTCCACTGCCCCTCTTCAGAAGGAAATGCACAATTGTGGCTACCAAAACTATAAACTTACCTGATGTAGATGGCTTAGCTATTTTCAATTTCAGTACTTGTTCCTTTTGTGTCTGCAAAAGAAATCTCGGAGTAAATTTTAATTATGCCTATCCATATATATGATAATTAGCCAAAAAAGGAAGAACAAAAGAAGAGTGATACTTGTGCAGGGTGCAGCATGAAACACAAAATTCATAGGAGTTACAACACTGCGAAAGAACATTGCATCGACTGCAAATGAGAACAGAAGTGTTACAAGGTACCATCAAGATTGTGTTCAAGTCAGCATCGTGGAGACATTAGTGAAAAAACTCACTGACAAGAGAATTTGTCTCCTCTTTCAGGACAGCAACGGGATTGTGGATCCAATGAGAGAGCATCACACACATAGCCTACAATGTAAAAAATGGTGTGAACCTAATGAAACTAAAAGATACGATTAAAAGCCAGACTGATTAGATACAATATTTAACACAACAACCAAAGTTAGAATTACAATTAAGAGTTAGGCAGACTCTCAAGTAGTGACAGTATGCATTAACAAGTAATTAGAAAGTTGAATGGAAATTAAAGAAACGACCGTGAAATTAAACACATCATATCAAATTTCTTCCATTCTCCTTCCCATTCTATATCTCAATAGTTTTCTTACCCTTCTGTTTGTTTGTGTGTAACATCTGAATTCCACATTAAGCCTCAGGATTTGCTATAGTACATACGTAAAGACTTAAACCCATACTTGTGAGGCACCTTTTTTTGGACAACCGTGAGACATTCACATCAAAACGGATAATACCTCGCAGGTTGGGTGCAAGTATCCATAATTGGTATTAGAATATTCTGTTGTGAAATTGGGATGTTACATTGTGACCAATGTTCTGATATAGCAAAAGATGAGACTGTATAAACTATGGCGAACAGGTGTATATCTTTGGTAATAATGCTTTCCAATCATTTGGATAAAGAAGAATGTTCTGCTTCAACGACTCTAAGGAAGAAACCGTGTACAACCCCATACTTGCAAGAAAGGGAACAGCTTTTGATTCTCCTCATTCAGATTTTCATACCCTTTTCCCTATATATTTCCAATATTTAATTCTGCTAACAACTAAAAATCCTTATCTATTTTTTTTCAAAATATATAAATTCCAAAGCTTCAACATGGCAGTCCACAATGAAAAATTAAGAATTGACTAACATACCATTATCATCAGATAACAAATACCTTCCTTGAACTGTTGTTCTGCATATGCGCCTCTCTGGAAAGCCAATCTCCTTCCTAGAAAATTAGCCCCATGAAATTTCTTTAATTAAAACGCAGAAAAAAGAAAACTACCCAAGCATTTCGATGATAAAAATGCCAAGAAAATACTTTTTTCTCTCTCAGATTGTAATGTACCTGGGAGCTGCAATTGTCCATGAGAATTCAACAAGGAGTTGTAGAAGGAAAACCCATGATAAACATAACTTGGATTTTGATTTGGACATTCTCAGATTGGATTTTAGCACCGATCAACAATTTCTTGTTTTTTTGCTTCGTTTATGTCCTGTCTCCCTTTGAGCTCCGACACTCCAGAATGCAAGTTATCGGTTGAAGGGACAGCCCAAGTGCCCCTCCAACTTAATTATTATTTATTGGATAAAATAATTTTAAATATGAATACAATAAAGAATATTTTAGAATTTTTAGAAAAATTCTTTTTTAAATTTAATAAAAACAAATAAAATATCAATACGATAATTTATATATTTATAAAATATTAAAATTTATGTATTAATATGATATTTTATATAAAAATTAAATATATAATTTTTATTGTTACAAAATATGTATTTTTTATTTTATTAAATTTATATATAATTATTGTTAAAATTTTAAATTATAATATATTTTTATTTTTATTTATTTAAAATTATTATATTTATAAAAATATATTTAATATTTAACATATAACATAAATTATAATATAATAATTTTAATTTTTATAAATTTAAAATTTAACTCAATTTACTCATATAATTTTTTTTAGAAGGGTATCGTTTAGATTTTTAATTTTAAATTATAATTTAAATTAATTTTCATGATACAAAATAAATACACCAATATAATATCCACTATTTATTACTGATTTACACGTAACTCTGCGCATTCTCTGCCCAAACCGTTCGGTTTATTTGCAAAAGGAAACGTGTTTTTCTCTGACGGGAACGCGACCAAAAAATATTTCAACTAACAAAAAAAAATTATAATTTCCCTTTCTCGTCTCAATCATCTAACTTTCCTTAGAGAAAGAGAAAGAAATCCGCTCCAATCAAAAATTTGCCACACCACTATGTCGATTCCTCTGGGGAGCCGACGCCGCTTTTTGGCGGCTCTTCCTTTATTATTTTTCGTGACTTTTTCATTTGCCGTAGCCGCCACTGCCGACGATGATTCTCAGGATGATGGCCCCAAGTTACCTTCCTGTAACAATCCTTTCAAATTGGTAATTTCATTTCATTTTTTTTTTTGTTATTATTAGAATTTACGACATTGCTACATGCTTTTGGCATTATATGTTATTTTTTAATTTGTTAATTGTCGATCTGAGTTCCCAAATGATTTGGAATAGTTCCAATTTGTATTAGCTCCCTTAAGATTTTTTTTTTTTCATTTTTAGGGTTATGAGGAAAAGAGGTAGAGAGATAGAGAAATATAAAGAACAAATTGATTTCCTTTTTCTTTAATTGGAGAGAACAATGGAAAGAAACATTGGTGGGGATAGTGGAATTGAATTTGGGGGTGTTGGTTGCAGCCAATTTGCCTGCTGGTGGTAAATTCCATAGTGAAATTATTACAAACATGATTGTGGAAAATTTCATGGAGGACAACCAATTCTTAGTTCAGTATCCAAGGGATAACGAAAATAACCTAAGTCTAATGGCGTCATCAGGAACACTATTGTGTTTGAATTTGTTTAATATCTCCAAAAAATTTGGATAATCTGCATGGGTGGGATTCATTAACGAGATAGAGGTTCAAATTAGGGGGCTTTTAGGAATTGCATTTGTATAGAAAGGGGTTTGAGATTGTTTGTTAGAAAGGAAGAATTAAACTGGTTGCTAGTTATTTGAAACAAAGGAGTGCTAGGGTGCAAAAATGTAAATGAAGAGAGGTTTTATCTGGAAGATCAAGCTGCTGCAAAGTAGTGCTGTTATATGACAATAATGATACAGTAAAAAGTACTGAAAGATAATTATGAGAAAGGCGAGGATCAACCTTGAAAATTTCAGTTCCTGGGATTTAGGAAATTGGTGTGGTTGTCTAATGGATATGTGTGGAATTGAATTTTTTTTGTAATAAAAATAATGTTGTACACCTGTTGTTTTAGTGATAAAGAAAATTTTGAGTTTTTGTTAATGATCTGAAGGTTTTTTACTGTTATTTTAGTAAGTTTTGCAGTATTATGAAAGAAGCTGATTACTTTGTTGGTTGATCTTGAAACTTATTCTAAAGAAAAATAGATAAAAGACAAGTAGTGAATGAGATTTTTGGCATGGTAGGCCCATCTGATTTTCATATGTTAGAGTAATAGTATGTGTTTACATTAATTCCTTAATAATTGAGTTCCTATCTTCCAGGTCAAGTTGAAGATCTGGGTTGATGGTGTTGAAGGTGAAGATTTAGCTGGGTTAACTGCTAGCTTTGGAGCATCATTGCCTGAGGAAGCCAACAAAAGTCCCAAATTGCCTACAGTTTTCTCAAATCCCCTAAATGGCTGTTCTAATTCTTCTTCAAAGGTTCTGTCTTGATTTATCATGTTCTCACAAAATTTTTGGTGAACTTGCCTCTCCAAGAGTCGTTTGGCTTTGTTTTATCAGGAGTCCTCTAAACTTCTCTAAGTTCTGAGAGGACCATGGCAACTTATGAAGTTTGGGAAAACTTTGAAGTTTTAAGATAATACTTTTCTTAAATTTTGAATAAAGTTTAATAGTTTCATAAGCACTATAATGTGATCTAAGCCAAATGAAAATTTAAGATGCATTATGGTTAGAATTTTATTATTACAGCTATCTAGTTCTGTAGTCTTGTCTACACGTGGTGATTGTGACTTCATAACTAAGGCAAAAGTTGCACAGTCAGGAGGTGCTGCAGCCTTGCTGGTGATAAATGACAAAGAAGGTTATAATTTTTTGTTTGCCAGCATATGCTATATGTATTTTAAACTTTGTTTTGCAGTTCAATTGGAAGATTGATTGAAAGAATGTTATTATTTATCAGTCTTTTACATGAGATTCCTTTTTTATAATTTATACAGAGCTTTACAAGATGGTTTGTTCTGAGAATGATACTTCTTTAAATATTTCAATACCTGTTGTGATGATTCCAAAATCAGCGGGAGATTTAGTTAACAAATCTATGGCAGACAAACGTGGTAAGCATTTTAGCTCATATGATATGTCCTTTTTTTCCTCTTATTTTGTTCTTCAGATGTACATTAGCTATTTCCTAGATTGTTAGAAACTAGGATCTCTTGTTCTGAAAGTTATGATGATGTAGGAGGGAATGCACTTAAACCTCTAGATCGGATTAGGGCTACCTTTTTACAGGAAGATATTAAACCTGCCAAATGCAACTAGCTTTTTGATTAAGGCTTGGTTGAGTGAATTTAGTGTAGAAACATGTCTAACCTATTGTTCGGCACAGCTTTATAGAGAATGGGCAAACATTTTCAGGAAACACTTTATTATCCTTTGATTTTAGGAAACACTTTATCATCCTTTGATTAGGTAAATAAAAATTTTAAATGATTCAAATCTAAATGACGAAATTGCTTAATGCCATTAATATAAGGTTTGTCATTTTGCGGTTAAGTATACATCTTCCACAATGTGCAGGTTTGTGTGGTTGAACATGCATGTTTCTATATAGTTATGCATCAGTGTAAGCAAACTTTAAGCTTTACAAAGGATAAGAAAATTTGTTAGGATTACTAGAAAAAATCTTCAATGTCATTTCCGCTATGTATGAACTTTTAATATAAGAATTTGTGGCTTTCTGCTTTTCTTGATAGCAAACATCGGGGTGATCTGAACATCCATTAAAATGGTTTGTTTTATTTTTTTTTGTGAATTTTCAAGCAGATAATAATATCACTGGGGATTTGAGATTATGCCTTAATAAAAAAAAGAATTCAGGTCTGAGTTGATGCTGGGACTTTTTCAGCGGAAGCTTGAGGGGATGGAATCATGTCAGGGAAAGTTAAGAAACAAAGTAAAATACGGATAAAATATGGAGAGAAAGAAAATCATGTCCTGAATATCTATTGTAGGTTGCACTTCATTGTGCTTCAGTTTGTAACATCTAGTCCCAACAAGGCTCATGATTTTCATGTCTATATTTTTATTCTTTTTTTTTTTTCCTCCCTGAATCCCAAATTAAGCCTAATGTCTTGTGACCAAAACTTCTCCCAGCAATTCCTGGTTGAGTTTGACCTTGGTTGCTATTATGAGTGCTTGTCCTTCACTTGAGGTTCACGATTTTGCTTCAGTTCTCTATTTGAGGTTCATGCTTTTGCACTGGTTCTTTATTTGAGGTTCACACTTTTGCTACTAAGATTTTTTTTCTTGGGGCAATAGTCTACACTTGAATATTTAAATAGTATCTGTGTAATTTACATGAAAATAACAATATATATAAATAATGGTTTATTTGATCTTCTATAACTACTGATTGTTTATGCATTTGTTAGTTTTAGCTTTGGGTATATTTACATGTACATTCTTGATGCATACGTTCTTTTTAATCTTTTAAGTTTATTTTCATATGATGATTCATATAAACCAAATCATGTTAATTTCCAATGCAGTGGAACTTTTATTATATGCACCAACTCGTCCTGTCATGGATTATTCAGTGATATTTTTGTGGGCAATGGCTGTTGGCACAATTGTTACTGCTTCACTTTGGCAAGAGTTTGGTACTTCTCAGCATACTGGTGAACATTATAATGAATTATTGCCAAAGGTTTACCACATTCTATTCTCTACCATTGTTATGAAGTTTATAGTTGCATTCTGTATATTGATGTGTGTCTTACAGATATTTGTTGATTATAGGGAATAATTGGTTGTCACGTGCATGAATTACATATCATCTAGGTTATCTTAAAATTTTGAGCACATATTAGTATTCCTGTGCAAATGACTTTGATGGTAATATCACCTTCCAAGAAATTTGATTGGTGCTCATAATCAGCTCAAGCTATTTTTGAAGTCCGGGTGGTTATTTGTATAACTGTTTTCCTTTCAAAGTAAGTTCATGGCTGTCCTTTGTGACTGTTTTCTGATTGGCGGGTGGCCTCATATGCAGTATACAATTAAGTGTTTCTCTTTTGAGATATTTTTCTATTATCCAATGAGTTGCTAGATGTTTAGCATCTATATAGTTTCTCATATCTCTCAAATGCCAGTTTGATGGGTAGTATGGTGTTTTTTTTATTATTGCAATAAATTATTGAAGATTTTATGTTGTCACATGACACTGCAATGGGATCTCTTGAATTAAGGTCCTTTTCAAGGAATTAAAAGTGCATATGCAATCGGTACTATATCATCAACACTTATTGCACTTAATACTTTCTTCAAAAGTTGTTCCAAATATGAACTGATGATGTCATAGTTTCTTTGATATAAAACAAGAAACTTTATTAGAGTTTCCATGAATATTTTTGTTTTTGATATGTTCTCAAATTATATATTGAAATTTTACATACAACAATTTTTAAAATATAAATATTGAAGCACCAGTGAAAATCTTTTAACATTTTAATGTTCTAAGTGATTAGTTAATGTTAGAACTGGGGAACTAAAGATAAAAATGAAATTAGGGATTTTATAAGATTTAACCATTGAGATTCAATTTGATAGGATTCATGTCTAACTCAATAACTAATTACTCGTGAATGTAATTTTTATATATAAAATATCATATTATGTTATTATATTGTGGATATTATAGATTCTTGGTTAACTAGTCTCTCCATAAGCAATTAACCCTGGTAATGCTGGACTGAACTTTTTACTCAAATTATATCTATAGACCTTAGATGTTTGTAGAATACATAGTCCTACATCTAAGGTTGGTTCTGCCAGAGAAAACTAGTTTTATTGCTACTTGGATTTGTTGTGTGAAGAAACCATATCCATTTTATACTAATTTGTCTCTTCCTTTTCTTTGTATAGTTGAATTCTCAGTTTTCTTTCTGATTCTATCCTTATAGCATGATATCGCTGATTATTGAAAGGAAATTTAAGTGATATACTTTTGCTGCTATTGACTAGGAATCTTCCAAAACTGGAACAGGCAGTAGTGATGATGAGGAAATCCTTGATATTAGTGCAAAGGGTGCTGTAGTTTTTGTGATAACAGCGTCCGCTTTTCTGGTGCTACTCTATTTTTTCATGTCCACTTGGTTTGTCTGGTTGCTGATTGTACTCTTCTGCATTGGTGGTGTTCAGGTAACATAATTGTTTTTTGTGCCTAATATGTTATTTATCATGTATGTTTGTATGCATGTTTGAATCTACTAATGGTCAGACAGGGCATGTTAAAAGCAAACTACACTTTTAAGTCATTGGTTTTTTTCCCCTTTTTTTTTTTTTACATTTTTGTAGCTGGTTGTTTGCAAATGGAACTGCAATGCAGAAAATATTAGCGTAAAATATATAACCATGGCCGATAAATATATACAAGTAACGACTAGAAATGCATAAGTGGATAGGTTCAATGCTGTACTTCTGCATATTTTATGTACGAAAACACCATTTTCTGTGTTATCTGTTTCTGCAACATGCATATGAATGGTAGAGAAGTAGCTATTTTTCCCTCTTTTACTTTTCCTGTTTTTCTATTTTCTTGTTATTTGCTTGTTTTTTCAAAGGGATGTATTCTTTTATCAACCTCTGTGTTGTATATCTGTTGAGGACTTCTTTTTTTTCAGGGGATGCACAATTGCATTATGACGCCAATAGTAAGGTATGCTTGAAATTTGCTTGTCTTTTCTACTAAAACTGTCAAATAGCTGTTTTACAAGATCTAGTTTCTTTTTGTTCCTGTTCCTAACATAAGTTTACAAGCAGAAAATGTAGAAATTGTCCACAGAAGACACTGAATTTGCCTCTCTGTGGGGAGGTTTCTATTGTCTCATTTGTGGTTGCAATATTCTGCCTGATATTCGCTGTTGTCTGGGCTGTCAATCGGCGAGCCTCATATTCATGGGTGGGCCAAAATATTCTTGTAAGTCTCCCATACCACCACTTGTATTCCGGACTGATTATTGGGTTTTTTTTTTGGGGGGGGGGGGGTGTGTGTGGGAATTGAGGCCAATTGTAGGACAGGAAAGAGGGTTGTATGAAATTGTCAACAAATTGATGCTATTGTAGGGAAACAAGTAGGATTTTGAGATTTAGTTTTAGGGTTAATTATGTTAAGAGGGTTGGAAATCGTAAGAGTAATGCAAGGTTTAGAATAGGAGAGATTCTGATAAGAAAATCAGAGAGTTAGAGAGTTGTTTAGAAGTGATTCTACTAACATGAACGGTACTAGAACACAGCATAATTCAAACTGTTGAATTAGGTAGGCATGATTGGGTTTTTAAAAAAGTGTTATTTAGGATCTTATGATTGCAATTTAGTTGATCCTATATTTAAATTCCTGATGATATCCATTGTTATTCCTTTTTATTTTAATTGCTGCTGTTTCACCTACTCATTTCTGTGTTGTTTTAGGTAACCTGAGGTTAGCATTAAGTTTGATAGCTATTGTTTCTGCATAGAAGTGGTTCCTTCATTGTTCAAATGCCTTTTGCTTCTCATTTGTTGACTACCTTAAAATTGATTTTTTTTTTTTTTTTTTTGGGTTTAAAAGGGTATCTGTTTGATGATAACAGTCTTACAGTTGGCTCGACTACCTAATATCAAGGTACTATGATTTCTTTTATCTTGTAATAATGAATTATGTTTCTCTCCTTGCCCTGATTGTTCTTCATGACTCAGGTTGCTACAGTGCTTCTCTGTTGTGCATTTGTTTATGACATCTTCTGGGTCTTCCTATCACCACTTATATTCCATCAGAGTGTGATGATTGCAGTAAGTGCTCATCCTTTTGGTTGTTGAATTGAAACTACTTTGCTTTGTGTTAGTTGTTGTTAAGCATTGACTAGTCTTCTGTTTTGACTTCAATTAAAGTATTGAATATTTGCATCCAATGGAGCAGCCGCGTCTTACTTATTACTTAATACAATACCATCAAAGTGTCAATAATGGCAGTTTATTAACTTAGAAAGCCATGGTCTCATAATTTCCTTGTGATAACTCGATCAAATATATTTTGATAGAACAAAGGTTGGTTCCTTGTTTGGTTTGGTTGAAGCTATGAATTTTCTCATATGCTTCTCATGTATCCCATCAGAAGAAAAGTCAAAAGAAAAATACAATAAATTCAGCATAGTAGCTCCAACAAGGAGCTGTGCAAAGTAATCTCGAGCAGTAAGAACCACGCGTACTTTGTAATCTAGAAATCATTTCTTATAAGTCAAACATGAGTAAAATATGCTAGAACTTCCTATGTAAACTGGTTAGATGTGTGCAAGAATCAATAGTGTTTTAGATGGTCAATGTGTTTCGGGGTTTGCTTCATATGTAAACTGGTTGAATTGGTAGGTCAATCCAGCTGCATAATATTTTATTTTTAACTATGCTAGAACTTGACAATAGTTTATACTTTTAGTAAATGTAAAATCCTGCTCCATGCCCAAAATTCCACTTTAGTAAAAGTGGTCTTGATGGCCCTTCTTTTGTTTTGTTTTTCTTTTTACAATTACACTAAACATCCCGTCAACCTACAGACTTATAATATAAGGTGACAGTCCTGGATGAGCTTTGATCTCTAACATTTTGCTCTTGTTAATAGGTTGCTCGAGGTGACAATAGTGGTGGAGAATCAATTCCTATGCTCTTGAGAGTTCCTAGAGTTTTTGATCCATGGGGTGGCTATGATATGATTGGATTTGGGGATATTCTATTTCCTGGTTTGCTTGTTGCATTTGTTTTCAGGTACCAATTTTCTTTATTCTGTTAGCTTTTATCATCTAATACCAAGAAGCAAAGTTTTCAGTGATTGTTTTTGTTGTAGTTAAGTATATTAAAAGGCTCTTTTTTTTATGGGTTTTTGGTAATGCCCTCCCTAAATGGTAGCATAAAAAACAGAAGGAAAGCAGAAGAAACATTTGAGACAGCATTGTCGTGTATATTCCATCTTCGTAGTTGTTATTTTCCCTTATGTACTTTGCTCAATCATCTGGGATGATATAACAAGTCGTTAACCCTTTTTCTTAGTTTGGTTATATCAGACTCTTTTTGATACAACTTGCTTTCAAGCCGATGAAAAGCTGCTTTAAAAGATGTTGGATGTGACTTTTAAGCTAGAAAATACTATTGGAAATAAGACCAATTTGAAATATGCTATAATAGCAATGACTTCATTTATAATCCCCATAGAGTTGGATGGAGCTAAACTTGCCCTTGCGGCTTCAAAAATTTTGTGCCAAACCTCTTATGTCTACGTTCAGCATAGCATACAGAAAATCAGTTGTTTTATTTGATTTCTAGTTGAACTAGTTGCTTTAGTAGGGAGGAAGTCCTGTTAAATTTTGAGTTTGAAAGTCCTTTTATCAATGAAATAATCTCCAAAGCAGCCAACTGTAATGTTCGAAACCAGAGATCCATTATTTTATTCTGTAAAATCACATGAGGGCTTAATTGCAATTTAAATCAGTCTAAGAAGAAGCCATGCTACTTCCGTTGTCCAATTTCATTTTATTTGAATAAGCTAGGTAGTAGCAAGTTAGAAATATTTATAGTTAGAAGGCATTGACTTTTGTTGTTTTCTTTGCACTTGGAGAATCTAAAATTAAGGTCAATTATTTTTAAAAGTAAATCTAGTAATAACTTTTGTTTTCCATTTAAAGGACATGGATTTATTCTCTAAGGAGACATGAAAGTTAAAGGGCGGCTCATTATTTTATTCTGAAACCTTCAGAGCTTATAAGTGGCAGTTGCATCAGTAGGGTTGGGTTGGATTAAGTTTGAATCATTGATTTATTGAATCATTTATATTGTGCTGTCGAGTTTCAAGCAGTTCAAGTAATGTCAACTTTTGCCACCTTTTTTCCTCTACCAAGCTAAGCAGTCAGACAGGTTGAATTTAGGTTGCTTTTGGATTCCTGGTCACATCATTTGTTGACTTTTAGAGTCAAACCAGGTTAGGGTGTGTCAGAATAGGTGGGATGTTGTGTCTTTTGGACTTGTTAATTTTGCCAACTCTAAAACTATGATTCTATGATTCTATGAAATAGTTATGCTCTTGCTTTACTAGATCTTGACCAAGGACTATGCCATGAATAAATAAACTCTTAATGCTAAGCACGCTATATATTGACTGGACCACTTTTAACATTGAAACCTTTTCTATGTATGTGCGGGTGTTAAAAATGGATTAATACAAGCAGAATGAAAGGGTAGAAATTGTCTGAATTTTTCTTACCTTTCTAAAAAGAACTAGGAAGGGATTATATTGCAGATCCAACAAGTTTGGGATGTATAGCAACATTGATCTTTATTATCAAGTCTTTAGGTTGCCAGGCATGCTTTCTGGTTCAATAAGGGGATTTGAGCTGGGTGTTTGTCGGGCTGGTCAAAAACTGGTGAAACACCTGGTTGAACTGGATTAGACCTGACTGGTTCGGTATTTGAACCGGTTTTAGTGTTAATTTTTGGTTTAATGTTAATATTGCGGACTGGTCTGTTTCTTTTTCATGGCCTTGTTTTTGAATGGTTTTCATCCTTTTGTTATATATGGGTTTATGATTATTTTTCCTGTTTGGTTGTCTCAGATATGATAAAGAAAACAAGAAGCATCTTGCCAATGGGTATTTTCTTTGGTTGATAATTGGCTATGGATTCGGTGAGTGTGCATGCCTCATGGTTTGCTATGCTGTTTTTTTTCCTTCCTTCTTTACCATGCCTCTAAGACTTCTTTCCCACCTTATGCGAGAATAACATATTTTATCTGTGAAATATAATAGTTTCATCAGGCTTCCTCTTAAGTTTAAACTGAGTTTAGTTTATCGATGTTTCTGTCTTTGCAATTTCTGTTCCTTGTCTACCTTCCTTGCAAATGTTTATTTAACTCGGAATGATTTCAATGACTTTTTGACCCGGCATTTATGTTCTTTGATTTCAAACCATGGCAATTTTTGTCTAGTGCATATGCAAATGTTGAGACCAGCATCTGCTTAGTTATGTACTTATATTCAATTAAAGTCATCATATCTGGTTATCACTGTAGCTTTGACGAGCAATTTTGTTATTCATGGGCATGTAAGTGCCAAAAGCATCAGGTTTAACTTTATTTGATTCAAAATGAAACCAAATTAAAACCTGGATATAAATGGCCTGTGAAATTATCTATATCATTTCCCGTCAATTTTACTGGAATACATACAGGTATATGATGTTGATATTTCCTCTTGGAGGGGAAATAATTGATCACACACACGTACCATTGCCATTAGTTTAGTAGTTTCTAAAATGTGGTGGTTAATCTTGGGAAACAAATTATATGTTTCATACACTATGTACGATGATGAGCATGGTATTGTGTGTTTCCTTGAAAGTACCGAATAACCTTGATGTTTGATTTGTGAAAATGAATGAATATCAGATGTGTATTCTTGTATTTAATGGGCTGAAAAGCTTTTAAAAAAGAGTTTGATATCAAGAAAATAACTATTGTGAAGCTATAGTGATACTTATTTGTTTCAATTTCACACATGGCAGGCCTCTTCTTTACATACCTTGGGTTATATCTAATGGATGGGCATGGTCAACCTGCACTCCTCTATCTCGTTCCTTGTACGCTAGGTAACAAAGTTAATAATTCCACCTGGACACGCCAGTTCTGGCTGGCTTGTTGGGAGGCGTCTCATACGCTGTCTCGTTTTAACTCTTTTTGCCCCTTCCCCTTTCTTCTGATTTTTTTTTTTTTCATTTTCAGGTGTTGCTGTTATATTAGGTTTAGTAAGAGGAGAGCTAAAAGGGCTTTGGAATTACAGCCCGGAGTCATCTTCCACGGAAAATCCCTCTGGAGAAGCTTGATGCAGGTAATTTTCTTCAAAATGATAATGCTGATCATCAGACAGAGATGGGTTTGGTGTTATCTACACGAATGCAGGGTCAGGGTTCAAAAGAAGGCAACAGTTCGAGTTTTCGGACCTGTCTCTTCTGTTGCATCTATCTAGTGATCATGGCTGGATTCTTACCACCAAATTTATGCTAATGTTGTAATATTCTGGAATGTTATACAGGTGTGTCATTTTTGTTTGTGCAAAAATTGTGGGCAGGCAGATATAACTTCAAGCATAGGGTAATTTTTGTACTTTTTGTTGTTAATATTTAACTGATTCCAGTGCCATTGGAATGGCATGATGTACAATGTTGTGAGAAGAGAAATATAATCAAGTAATTTTCAGTTCTTTTTCTTCAATTAATATACATGTTGCTTGAGGGGCCAAAAAAAATTTAAGTTTATCTTTTTTATTAAACTTATTTTATTTTTGGTTAAAGCCCTAGAATGAAATTTAATAATTATCTAATCCCTTGTTGTATATTCGGCAAAATTTTTTTATTATTTTATTGCGATCAATTAAGCTTTCAAACATATATTTTCATGGTCTTTATGAACGAAAATGAATCAATTTTCATTCAATTAAGGGTTTAATTGAATAAAAATAAATATTTAAAAATTTAATAGGAAGAAAATAAATGTTTGAAGGTTTTTAATTAATTATAATAAAAAAATAAGGGTTTAAATAATTATATAATTTTAATTTAAAGTTTTTATAATATTTAAATAGTTAAGATCATGTTTGATATATAAAATTATTGATAAAATATAATAATAATTATTTTATATTATATTTGATTTGTATTTAAAGATGCAGATAAAATTATAATGAGGATTAATATCCTTTTGATATAAGATTATTTAATTTTTTTCAAGTGAAGAAGATTATTTTTAATTTATGAGATTTAAATTACATGTTTAATTATAGATTATTTTTAATTTATGAAATTAAATTTATATGTTTAATTATATATTTAAAAATTATATTAATATTTAAATTATATAAATTTTGAAGAAGAAAAATTTTGACAAATAAATAAATTATTTTATTTTAATTTTTATATACATCAAATATAAAATAAAATGATATTATTTAATTTAATTTTATTAATAATATTATTTTATTTTATTTTATTATAATTTTACATAAAAAATACTCACTTGAACTTCTTAGTAACCTACACGAGTTAGGAATGCAAAAGGAGTTAAGAAACTGGGACTTTGTTATTAGTTGATTTACTCATTGTTGAATATTGAATAATGTATATTTATAGCAAAAAATAAAAATTGTATCCAACATTAATAATACCTTAGAAGCTAAAGGGCACAAATGAACTAAGATATTATAATTCATTCCAATCAAGTAATTCATAAATATACGATACTATAATTAATCAATAAATTATTATTACATTAGGTGGGACAAAAGTTTTAGGATGAATATATAACATTTTCTTTTATTTAGTGGGCACTTTAATTAAAAATTATAATATATGGTGCTGAAATTAAAAGAGAATATTAAAGAAGACAAATTAAAAAAAAAAAAAAAAAAAAAACAATATAGATGGTGTATATGTCAAGATTTTATATATAGTAAAATTAGAACTTAATTAATTTCATTTATACAAATCATCAATAAAAGAAGATTTTTTGTAAGTATGGAATTTGAATTTCAATATTTATAACTTATTTTTTTTATCTTTAGACTGGGATCTTTTATAAATAAAAGAATTGATATATAGTAGAGAAGACATAAAATTAAATAAATAATGGATGTTTATGCTAATTGACGGATGGGTTGGAAATGTTGGGGATTTTGTTTATTGTTCAAAACATGACGGTGGCCTGGGTTTTAAAGGACTTTGTAGCGTTTAACTTGGCTTTCTTGGCTAAGCAGCGGTGGAGGCTGGTAGTGCTTTAGAGTCCTTAAAGCAAGATGCTTCCCTTTTGCCACTCCCAAGCAGGCTGGTAAGGGTTATGATCTACCATGGCATTATTTGTAATCTATATATATATATATATATATATATATATATATTACATACGCATGGAAGTTATGTGATTCCTGAGTTCTGATTGGAACGAGTCAGTTGTGTGACTTGGAACAAGTCATTGACGGGCTATTCTCTGTGAGGATCAGTTTACTCGATGGCTAGACGTTTAATTGGTAGAGATGGGATTAATGCTCAGAATGATATATTCCAACGTAAACAAATTTTATTATATTCATAATTTATTTATTTAATTAACAAGTTTTAAAATATTATTCATAATTATTTATTAAATTTAACAAATTTAACTGTTTGTTTCTTGTTCTTTTTGTTTACACTTTCACTCTATAAATGAAGTGAGCGTAAACAAATTTCACTATATTCAAATTTTTTTTTGTTTAATTAATGAATCTTAAAATATTAATTAATAAATTCTAAAATCTTATTCGTGATGATTTATTAAGCTTAATGAATAAATATAAATGAATAAAAGTCAAATATATGCACCCATACATATAGATCGAGAATGATGTGGAACTCGAGACTGAACAGCTTACGTAATGCCCAAATAATAAAGAGTTCTGCAAACTCTTATATTTTCCAATGAAGATGGTTGAATCCATCTTATAGTTAATGGGTCAGAGAGCTGAAGGTTTGAAGAGTAAGGATGCCTGACAGTTCCCAAGAATAATTCCTTTCATTAATCCGCATTATGTAAAGAATATCTGTTTCATGATACCTTTCTTACAAATAGGCAACCAAGTTACCCCCCAAGAACCCTCTGAAACCAAATCTCCATAACCCCCAAACAAAGAATAATTGTCCGTGATATTGGTACACCATACCTGATAGGGGAATGGGGGAAAGGAAAATTTTTGTAGACTACCACTTGACCAAAATCATCAATACAAAAACCCTATTTATTTGCCATCTGATTACCATGGCAAGACGTATCATGGAATATGCAATGGACCATCCTTAGTTACCGCCTGGAGAGATGATCGGATTCACCAATCTGGGAAAACCTCAACCAATGGAATGACCAAATGATGGAAGAGAGGGTGAGAGACGAAGAGGACAAGGAAGAAGAAAAGAAGCAAAAGGAAAGACTACAAGGAAACAGCGCAAATTGGTTGAGACGGGCCTTTTCTGCCAAAGAATTGCCAGACTCACCAGACTAACCAAAATCACAAACTGACAAAGTGGCATGCTCTGAGTTCCCTAATCCTGCGATCTGCTTATGATTGAGAACTTGTGCACACAAAACTCCACGCACTTGAACCTCAAAACCCTTGAGGTTTAATCACCTTCAAAGACCATATAGGAATCGATGAATGTTTTGGAAGGCAAAACAACTCTTGGTTTCATGAAGCCATTTCTAAATGAATGCAACTATCAATGAACTCATAGGGCAAACCAAAAATTCAATCCAAAACTGAACTCACGATGGAGAAGCAGCAGCAGCAGTAGCAGATGCCTTCTCCATTTTCTCCTTTTCAATCTCTGCTCTCCTCTGTTCGGCATGCTGAGCAACACCATTCGCCAGAGATTGATAATGGAAATCCCGCATCTGCGTAAGGTTCTGGAACCTCATAGGATCTGATGCTTGCAAAGCTAGATTCAAAATTGGGGAAGCGAAAAATAGGTCCTCATTTCAGACGCCATGGAAAATCAACAAATGTAGAAGATGCATATAAACAAACTTAAAGGTGAATAAACATTTACCCTTGATAGTATCAACAAAGAAAACAAATGGGTCCACTTCATCAATTGGTGACTGTAACTCTTCATCATCACTAAAGTCATAATCTGAGTCATCATCAGCAGCAGCAGCACGGAAAGCCTTTGCCTATAGAAAACAAAGTCAGGTGGTGTTAAACAAAAGTGTGGGAGGCCCTAGAATCCATTCCTGAAAAGATATATAGGATTATTTACATGGATATGTCCTAAATACAAGCTTATTAAAAGGCCACAGCATTAATATTAAATTTGCAGTTATCTGTTCTACCCCTCATCATCAAACAAGTCATCGGTACCTACATTTCTATCTAGAAGACAAGTGCAATTTATGAAAATACATAAAGAAATGCTGAGGAATTTTAATCGAAAGTTTTTGGGGCACAGGGAAGGTGTGTCACCAAGAGTAACCAACCAACCTGTACAGGCAATTGTCTTAATGCCTTTGCTATTGGTGCCGACAATTACTCTAGCACTATTGTTCAGATTGTACAGCTCCTATTTAATTGCCTATCCCATATTTTTTAAAGACGAGACCAAAAGTGTGAAGGCCTTTATTATGAGTGAAAAAAGCCAACTGATTCTATTCATTTTTTTTTTGTACTAAGGCGTACCATAAAAGCTGGCATTATCCACTTGATTTCTAATACTTCAGCTTTGTGAATTTTTGGGAACAACTATCAAAACAGAATGCCATCATCCTGTCTATAAAGTTGCTAGATATTCCCCCACAGATGTATGAAGAGTTCAGGACTTTCAATAACGTGCGAGATAAAGGGGTAGCTTTCCAATTTTTTTCCAAATTCTCATATTCTAGATAGAAGCAAAGTAACAAATAAAAAACCTAAAGGATCAAAATTATGTGCAAACCTGGGCAGCCAATTTTTGAAGCCTGATGCTATCAGCTTCATCCCCGTCCTCTGCACCGACTCCCATTTCCTTGTCAGAACCATCACCATCATCATTGTCATCATCAGTCTGGAAACCATCCATGTAATCATCATCTTCAGCCTCTTCCTCCTTTGCAGCATCTGCTCACACATAAATAATGTGTGGAATAATCCAGGTATTATGGAAAAAGACAGAAGGATAAACGCTCCAAAAGACAGCAAACCAAAGCCAAAAAAAGGAAACGCTTGGAAATTAATACACAAAACATTGCACAAGCAGACACACAAACACACTCACAGAGAGAGAGAGAGAGAGAGAGAGAGAGAGAGAGACCTGCAACTTGATCCTTGTATGCAACTAGGAGATCAAGGGTAGCCCTGAACACACGCCCAAGAGCCTCCCCAACTAAATGTTCACCAGGAAGTGCAAGCAGTGACGTAAGACCCAAGCAGCAAACTTTCTTATCATGTTCACTGTAGCACCCAGAAAACTTATAGTCACAGCCAGACAATACCCAAGATGAAAATTTCATTACAAAAGTAATGATATTATGCTTAAGGCTTGTACAAGTGAAACAGAAAATGATCAAAGAAAATAAAAAACTACCTACCGCTTAAAATTTACCCGTAGACCACTCTTTCTAACTTGTTCCAACAACTGGAACCAAAGGTTGAACACTTCCATTGTAACACAAAACTTATTCAATATGCTGAGTGTCAATGCTGCATTGTAATAGACCGCATTGGCAATCTGGGTTAAAGAAAACCAGCATTGTGTTAGAAAATCACAGGCCAAACCCGTTTCCAGAAATAAAAAGTATTTCTGAAAGAAAACTAAAGCAACTTGCAAAATAATAGTAGCCATTATGCCCAGAAGAGTAAATTAACATTCCAAACAGCACAAGCTGTAGGCATTAGTAGCTACTTCTCACCATATTTTAACATATAAGGGACAAATCTAGATCCTAATAAGAACATTCTGAGATAACATAGACTGCTTAACTTCAAACTTGTAACAGGAACGAACAAAGAAAATTTGAGACAGATAAAAACATATCAAATTAACTTAAATTGGCAATAAATGAATCTTCAACTAGTGCTTTCTCACTGTGTTGTATAGAAAATTTGATGCATAAGGACCCTTGTTTGGGTGCATAATTTGGGAACACAGAAAGTGTAATAATTACAAGACATAAGCATATAAGCAATGACATCATCTTGCAGAAAAATAGAGCTAGGTCCTGACACCTTACCACTTGTACAAGAAGACATTTCAACCGTGATTTCTCTGTTCTATGCAATCGATCAAGTGTGATTCTCAGATATGGCTCGACCCAATCATCCACCTGCCCTCTACAGTTTTGAAACACTACTTCTATCAGCTTTGAAGCTGGCTCAATATCATCGTCCTCTAAATTTTTATCTGCCATAATCTGCCAAAAGAAAAGAAAATAGCATAAACCATATAAACCAAAGGGATGCTGACTTAAAGTAAGATAGAAAAATTACAAAAAGATGAAAAAAACTGGAGAATGTATAGTTCATTTTCATTTTCCCAAGAGTTGTCCATCTACAAGCAACTTCATCAATACAAAGGAACTCACTGACGAAATCATATTCCAAAGACTTTGCTGGTAATCCAGTTCCTTGCAAGAAAGAAAATGTGCAGTTCCCCTAGATATATAGTTGTCCAAAGGAACCAAAATATCTGCATGAAAACAGCTACAGCTTAGAAACAACAAAAAAAAATACAGATGAATTCAAAAATAACTAATGATAAATTGAATTTGATTGACAAAAAAGAGTGAAACTTCCCACTTTCTGTTGTTAAGATGTTACCTACTATTTATAAGGACATCCCAGAACCAAAAGAAATGAACCATCCGCATTCTATCATAAACAAATCTGAGCACTCACGTTGCAGTGGTAATCTGATCCTCAATTAGGGATGGTCTTAGAAACTTTTCCAGTTATCAAAACTTGAAGCAATGAGGATTTTTGCGAAAACATGTTAAATCTAGGATTTGTAGGAATAATATATGCTTTAACAAGTCAACAAACACAATTAATTCTACCAACAAATTAGACACAAAAATTTGCAGTTTATTTGGAAATGTGGATCTTAGGGGCACATGCATAAAACACAAGTTTCAGATCAATAATACCAGGCATAATGTATTTCAAAGATGAATAGTATCACTAAGTAGCTTATCATGCTGTTGACCATGAAGAAGATGCATTAATCTTCCCAGTACAATTTGCAATTCTTTTCCCAAGTATAATTTCAGTTAATAACTAAATAAAAATTAAAAAGTTCAAACTGATGAGTAATATTAAAGGGAAAGTTTAGTTAACAATTCCTAAAACATTCAGACATGGAAATAATAAGGGAACTAAGAAAAGCAGAAAATGTAAATAGAATCATACTTGGAAAGAAGTCTATAGCCCAATCAGCTAATGCTTCAATCATCAAAGGCCAAAGGCTCCACATATCCAAGGATATAGTCGGGGAAAAGACGGTTATATACGAAACAATCTCCAAGACTTCTTCAAAAACCTCTGTAGAAGAATACAAAAAGTTGATGAAATAAACCCTATACAATGATATAACCAAATACCATCTTATCAAGTCCAATTTACCATGATTGAAATGCAATAGCAAATAAATTCCTTGCTTATGTATTTTATAAACTCACTTTAACATTTTGTTTGGCACAAAATTTACAACTCAAGTCCTTTTTAAGAGTTTAAACCGTGCTGACACAATGGTTTTAAGGTATCTTCGCAACAAAGCATACCCTTTCATAGAGCATGCCTGCTACTAACTCATCAAAAAGGTAACTGTTTATGGTCAGTTTTTCTGGTTATTTTAGCAAATGTTTAAAGTTTTTATGAGCATATCTTATTCTATATAAACACCTTCTGGATCTAAATACATTTGCCACTGTTACCAATAACATGATACAATTCTAAACTAAGAGGCAATGGCTAATGCCATAAGGATGCTCTTTGATCTACAATTAATAGATTTATAAAAAATTTAACATAATTAAAGAGTTATTAACATCTAGTAATAAAGTTCAGCTTTTGCCAATAGGGATAGAACAAAAACTTTCCTTTCTCTCAATTGCTCATCATCAAAATCAATAACCTAATAAACACTTGCAAAATTAAAGAGAAAGCAGCATCTAAGCTATAGCAGCTTATCATTCAATTTTCACGTCTAAACTTTAGATTCTTTAACCAACTTATACTATATACTCAATCCGGTCAAATTTTAAGCACCATTTCTCATATCTGGTTGCCTCAAAGTATGTATCACTGTTAAGAAAATAAAACAATTAAACGGCATCATTGGGACAGAAAAGAAAAAAAAGGAGAAACAGTGTATTTACCTTGTCCATCAGTTGTCAACATTCTTCTCATGATGGGAAGCAAAGTTGGCTCAATCTGAACAAAAAGATGCGGAAGCCTACTAACTGATTCAAGTATTGTGCTTATAGCACGCAAACAGCCAACTGCAGCCAGAGCACCAGGATCATCAACTTCATCATCAGCTTCTGCAGTGTTCATACACCTCCAAAATGCAGCTGCCTGAAAGTAGAGACACGATAATAGTTTCAGGTATAAGACAATTTGAAACTTAGTACTTAAAAATAAGGCGGGAACAATGCATTACCAAATTCTGACATAATCCAAGAGCATATGGTGCCATCTCCTCCCCAAACTTGTCGACTATAGTCTCCAGAGTAAAAACAAGGTCCTCATTTTCAACCTCATTCATAAGTTTAAAAATCTCTGGAGGAAAAGAAATTGCAATTTCTTGACTAAATCCCTTGAATAATGAAAAGTAACTGTCTATTGTGTGAATGTTCAATAGCATCATGCACATGATCCCAAAGTTCAGAAAAGAAGCAAAGACAAGTACAGAAGTGTTCCCAAGAGCCAAGTTAACTTGACACAGCCATCAGATAATCCGAAGCTGTTAATAACACAACCAAGTTCCAGACACCACTTACCATCAAGTAGTTGAGGAAGAATTGGACGAATCTCATTTAAATCTGCATATAAAACAATTTCTTTTCTGTTAAACAGTCAACACTCCAATTAATGAAGAAATAACACGTGAATAGATAAAACATCCGTAGAAATCAGCAATGGCAATCTAACCACAAAAAGCAGCAGATTTGGCCCCAAGCATGCTCAATTCAAACCCAACTCAAACAAAATATAAACTAAAGTTCAAAGAGGAAATATCAACTATATACCTTTGCAAGCTTCAACAAATGATCTCAATGCAAAAACTGAATCAACACGAACAGGAAGTTCTGGATCACACAACCCAGAAACAACATTAAGCAGTGCTTGGCGGAAATTATTCTGGTCAGAGAAGTTTATATGGGCATACTGTCCTGCTACCCAAGCTGCCTATTATCCGAACCACAAAAGCATAAAAACGAAAGATTTCACACACATAGAAATTTGTCAATATATATATCTAGGAAACCTTGAAAACAAGCAATGAAGAAGGATTAAGATGTCCCCAGATATTAAAAAAAAAAAAAATTTAAAACCTTGGCTCTAAGATGACCAACAGGACTGCGGAACTCAGGAAAAACATGTTGCATTAACATATGTTCCAATTCAGATTTATAGGGCTCTGTTTGTTTCAGTTTATCACAAAGTGCTCCAACAGCAAGGAGAGCACCATCCTTCAGTCGGTGAGGCTTATATTCTACAGGTGCTTCATCATATCTGGAACAAGAAAGAGGTATATCATGAATATACCATACCATATCAAAAATCAAGTCAACAACAAAGACTATTCCCTGTCGATATTAGGCTTACCTCTTGAAATTTTCCACAATGAATTGAACGAACTTTTGAAGATTCTCTTTCCCACGTTTCCTGACTAACTCACTGACAAAGTCCATGGAAGCAGTTCTTGGACTATATAAATCTTCAATTATATCTGCAGTACAACAATAAAACGTATGAACCAGTGTGGCTCATTCAAGGTTTCCAACAGGCATACCATATTCTGTAGCTTACCATAGCCCTTCCTTACATACTCATGTGGATCTTCCTCCCAAAGCTTTTGGTCATTGTCATTGAAGCACATGAGAGGGAAGACTATCTCAAAAATAAGTACATTAAGCTGTGGCTGCAACAAAGTATACATGCTATTTTTCGAGATGCTGCATATAAATTTTTTTTTGGTCAAAATCCATTATTAACATTTCTAAATTCAAATACAATTTGCAATACGGATACATAGGACAAGAGGATATGGCATCAGTGAAAGATGCATGTCGTCAATAATCTTGACAAAGACCAAAACTGAATAATACTATGCCAACAACGCAAGAGTACAGAAGAACTGCTTAACAAATGTGCACATATATTCTTTCTGAGCAACAGAAAGAAACAGGAAACACTGGAAAGAATATATTTGAAAACAATTCTATTCTTTCAGTTAAATGCAGGACAACCTTTAGCCTAAAAAAAAGTATGGTCCAGCAATCCTGAAATAATGGCAAGTTACTTGCTAACAAAGAAATAATCCAACATCTTACACTAACTAAAAAAATCAAAAGCACCAGTTATTGACATTATCTATGCAGAAACACATTGCAAACCTGCTGCTTAGATATTGAAGAATAAGGTTGGTAACTCTGTCAGGGAGATAGCCACCAACATGAATAATACCCAATAACTTTAGGTAGCATTCCAAAATTTTTCCTGCATAATTCTTCTGAAACATTTGGGCAAAAGCCCTGTTTTCTGGATTCCTTAGCTTTAAATCTCCAAACCTATAAAATGGCCACCAAAATCACAAATAACCTTAGTAACTTGAGGCCTAGCATTACTCCATACATTTTCTAATTTTCAAAACTTACCGAGTGTATAGCCTATTTAAAATATGAACCGTCCATTTTTTCACCTTCCACCACCCCCATGATTTCCTAAGCTCAGGATCTAAAGGTTGGCCTTCCAGAGGAACAGATCTCTCCAAAACATTTAACAAAAGTATCATCCAAGCATTGAACACATTTGGATCAAGTAATTGTTTTGGAATCTCCAACTGTGAAGTACAGAAAATATGTCAATCATACAAATATCATAAAACAGGTCACAAGAAACTAGCTGCAGTAAACCTAAAAACACTGCAGTACAAGTAGTTTTGCTCAAGATATTTGGCATGTGATTTTTCCTCAAGCTTAAAAAATAATAAAAATGCACTAAAAAGGATTAGTTAGCATGCTAGTAATTAGATTGAGAAACTTTTTACATCTGAATAACAATAAAAGTAAGAATGCCTTACTTTTCATTGCAAACGGAGAGATTAAGAGTTCATAGCAATAGCATTATACAACATCATCAAATCCGCATAAAAAAACACTTTGTTTACAAACAACCATAACAATAATTGCAAATAAGAACGAATGTTTTTAATAAATATGCCAAAATGTTCCCCTTGACAAAACAGAAAATGGAAAATAAAAGAGTAAACAAAAATGTAGAATGATGCCAGAAGCTCCCCTTTAGGACCCCCATTAAAATATGGGGTGATAAAAGCAATGAAGATGCACTATAAAACTTACATAGATAGATGACCAGAAAATTTTACAAATAAGCTTGATTAGATCTGCCACTTCCAGTGCTGGATTTTCAATCTGGACAAGTCTATTGAATATATTAAGAAGATGAGGAAATGTCTCCTCAACGATGCGGTGAACTGGACTTCTCTCCTCCTCTGACTTGAACCTAGAATGATAAAGGAAATGATTAAGTTACTACTAAAAAAATTCAAAGAGAAAAAACGCAAGTATGCACCAAATTAAGAGAAACAATGAGTTGTTATTTTAATTAAAGCATCACAACACTTCTCAACGGACAAAGCTGCCTGCTAGCATGTAATGCAATCAAGCATTAAGGCATGGAGAGATGACAGTGGAATTAAACAAATACTTCCCATCACCTTCAACGAGCAACTTACATCAAAATAAAGGTTACATTTATATAAAGATAACAATTCATACCAGAAATAAAGAAACCAGGCACCCAAAAAATAGAAAGATATGGTATATACTTACTCATATTTTCTAGCAAGAATCCGCAAGACAAACAGAGCCCCATAAACCTGCTGATCTTGTAGGTTATGCTTCACCCAGTCCAGAAGCCGCGGCCACCGCTCTGGATAATCAGCATGGATAATGGTCTTGAGGCACTCACCCAATTGCACCCTGCATTAAAACCGATATGACGCAGAGAGCAACTTAAGCAATGTAATCTACAAGCACTACCAATGAAACAGTAAACAATTCTAAACAAACAATCAAAAGAAAGGGACAACAAACACTTGTACCTCAACAAAGCAGGAACTTGAGCTACAAATACAAGAATATGATCGCGAACCATATCTTTATCACTTTGCAAAATTTTCTGTTGCTCATCTACATTTATTAAAAACAAACAAAAATATATTCATATCCATAAACATAAATATGGCAAAAAAAAAAAATTGATTGAATATTCGATACTTGGATCAAGCGGAGCCCAATTCTTAGCAATGAAGTTCTTGAAATGAATAGAAGCCACTTGACGAACCGCCATATGGCAATTATTATCCACGATGATCTGTAACAGTCTCACCAGATGCTGAGGCGTATGTTGAAACTGCAACCAAACAAAATCCAAAAAATTTAATCTTTTGATCTAAAAAACAAATAATCAAAATTCAAAAACAATTAATAACAATTAAAATTAAATTAAAGAAAAAAAATTAGAAAAACCTGATTGAGGCTTTGTTCGGCAGCTTTGCGTTCAGCGGGATTGGGACTAAGTGCAGCTTGAAGAACAACAACGAGACTTGGAAGATCCATTTTTTATTAATCCGATGATGAGAAATTAGAATTTTAAAATTTTAAAACAAAAATCTAAACCCTAGATGCTCAAAATCAGTTAATGAGAAGAGTGTCTAGGGTTTAGAAAAGATAGGAACATCGAAAACAAAAAAAAAATTAAAGAAAAAAAAAAAAGAGAGAAGTTTGCGGAGGAAGAGACAGCCAGAGCTACAGAGAAAAGTGAAAGGCGACAAATTTTAATGATTAGGGTAGGGTTTACGGTTGCTTAACTAAACCAACACTAAGTTTTACACGCGCGGTCAACTCAAAATTCCTGTTAAAACGGTGTCGTTTGTATGTTTAGTAGACAATTACTAGTAATAGCCCTGGAGCAGCAAGACCGCAGCCGCACGGGCATGCCTCCGAGCGTGTTTTTCACGTACGAGAAAATGATTTATTTTTGTTTGACAATAATAATTTGGTTAAAATTATTAGGCTTTCTGTACAAAACTAATTATTAGTCTTTCAAGTTTCAATAATTAAAAATGACGTCTTAAATTTTGATAAATACTATTATATTTGTTTAAGGATGATTTTGATTCATGGACTGGCTGGATTAACTTCGTTTAAAGAAAAACGGCTAAAGGCCGAATGCGTTTTTTGGCACTTTAGCAGTACAGCATTTGCTTTATTCATTCAATAAAACTTTTTTCTTTAAATACATATGCCTTTTTTTAAATAGGAAGCTCTCTTTCAAACGTAAATTACTATATTACCCATTTGGATTTTATTGTATTTTTATACTATCTAATTAAATTTATCGTATTATCAATTAAATTTAAATATTATTTTTAATAAAATTTATTTAGTATAAATATTTTATTAAATTTTTTTAATTATAATTATAATAATTTTTTAATAATAACTAAAGTAATTTTTATTAATATTTTTAATTTTATCATAATTAATATTACTATTCATCTAAGTAGAATCTAAGTCTATTTGATGGCTTTTTTTTTTGTTTTATTAGAAAAAAGGTTTTAAAGTAAAAAAAAAATTCAATATTGGTTTATTTTATTTTTTCAATATGATCCATGGACAGATTAAAAATATACAGATAAGCGGCAAAGTGAAAGCAAATGAGCATGAAACGTACAACCTACCTACACATATAAGCGAAGGAAAAGGCTTTGAAAAGCCTAACAAATATTCCTATGTTCTTTTTACAATCAACCACAACCAAGTTTGTTTGTAATATATTTATTGTCGTATATTCATGTTTTATAAAATATTAATAATTTATATATTTATATTATATTTTTATATTAAATTAATTTATTATTCATGTAATGCATAAATTTTTTTTATTTAAATATATAAATTAATATTATTTAATCTCTTAGATTCTCATTTGTTTGGTTTTATAATTTTAATGTGCAGTAAATATGAGAAAAAATTAAAAAATCTAAAATTCGATTCAGAATTATAATATTTAATTCGATTCAAATCAAAATTTTTATTTCATTTGAATTAAATTTAAATATTAAATGTATATATTATATTCGGACAAATCAAAATTTTTATTTCATTTGAATTAAATTTAAATATTAAATGTATATATTATATTCGGATTAAATTTCAGATCAGAAGATGAAAAATAAAAAAAAAAACCCAATCGAATTATATATATTTTTTAATTTTTATAAAATAAAAATAAAAATAAAAATTTTATATTAAAATATACTTAAATATATTAAAATTTTATATAAAAATAATATATAAAAATTAAAAAAATTAAAAGTTAAAAAACGATAAATCAAACTGAACCGAACTGATAAAATTCAATTTGATTCGGATCGAATAAATGTTCTAATCAAATTTTAAATTTTTATAATATTATATAATATCTAAAAAAATTGAATCAAATTTAATATTATTTAAACCGTTATCACTCGTAATGTACAATGTGTTTATTGGACATGTAAAATATATTATATTTTAAAATTAGTTCAAAAATTATTTTAAAATCTTATGACAATAATTTATGCGATAATCTTTTTGTTTGAATGTATTTGTGATTTATCTAACATCAATCAACCAAATCTAAAACGAATGAAGTTTATAAGTGAATTCACAAGATAAAATTTCTTATAAATACATATGTCAAGATTGAATTAAACATGTATTTATCGATTATGGTACAACGTTAATAATTATGGGGGTCCCACAACAACTTAAAACTAAACAATACCAACAAGATGTAATAGTCTTATTCCTATTTTGCGTTATCTTCGTGGATAGATTTATTCAAACTTTTTAATAATTAAGATCCTAAAAAAAAATGTTTGTAAATTTCATTTTCGATAAGAAATTTAAGACAAGACAAATCAACGTTGACTCACAAATTTATTTAAAAAAAAAATTGACTCCCAAATTTAACGAGTTCTTATACATATATTAAATAAATGTCTTTGTAAATAAAATTAATTAAAGTTTTAAGCATTGTGCACATCTTTGATTGATAGTGTCGAAAATAAAATGATCTTATATCTTTAATAATTAAAAATTATATAGTGAATTATAAGAAATTATTTATATTTCTTTTATTTACATACTTGCTTTTAAAAATAAAATTATTAGAACAATATTATCAATATTGATTAAAATACTTTTTTTTTTAAATTGTTAGAACATATTACTAAATTTCAAAATGGATAATATTTTATAATGGGCATAATTTGACAATATCTATATCAATAATTTTAGTTGTTATTTTTTTTATGTAAAACACAATTAATTTTGATTAAGAATTTGTTTAAAGTAAATAAATTAAAAGATTATATTATATTTTATCTTTAATTGATTGCTATAAATATTCCATTAACTAAATTTTTATCTATTTATCTCTAAATTTATATTTAAAAAAAGACATACCTATATTTTCAGATAAAAAAATACAAAAATATAAGAATAAAATGGAGTTTCGTGTCATATAATAAGTGGAACTCTCAGTATTCTTTCTTGTCAATTACTAATTTTAATAATCTTTGTCATGTTTTACATCTTTCTAGATTGTGACTCCAATAATTTATGAAATAATTTTATTTATTTTATATGTATGTATATAAGTTAATATTTTTTAAAAAATTATTATTTATAACATATATAAAATTTTATATCTAATTAAATTGTCACGAACAAAAAAAACTTTTAAAAAAAGAAGAAAATGACGTACCTTTGCACCATCTTTCTTTGCAATAATATTTATACAACTAAAATTTATATCAAATAAAAATAAAGTACAATGTGTTTCTTAAAAGAACAAAAACATATACATTATAAAATAATGAATTAAATAATAAAAAAAAGGCATACTTTCATTTTTGTAATGTTAGTTTAATTACTATATAAAACATGAAAAATATTAGGAGATGTATGAAAAAAAAAGCTAAATAAATTGAAAAAAATGTAATTTTTATAAGAACAAACTTACAATAATAACATAATATACCTTGCAAAAATAAAGATGCAAACCACAAAAATAAATTGCAAAAAGCTGTAAATCAAAATATAAAAAATGATATAACATGTTACATTTATAGTATTTCATTTATAGAATAACTCTTAAATGACATTTAATATTGAATAAATAATTTTCAAATTGATATTTTAAAAAAATTAAAAGGGTATAATAAATGATAAAAATTAAATTAAATTTCTTGCCTATTTTTTAAATTTAAAATTGATAGATAAAGTTAAGATGGATATAGATCTTATTATTTAGAGATTTAATATGAAAAAACTATTTGAATTTTCAATATTTTACTTAATTCTTTAAAAAATAATTTTGTTTGATGCAAATTAAAATAACAGAATATAATGAGTTTTTGAAAATATGAACAATTGAACTAAAATTCAGGTTTGTCTAGCTTTACTTGCAATCTTTTTCTCACAAAACTGAAACTAAAATAAAAATAGGCAAATCCACCTCAAAATTTCAGTTTCAACTTCATTTATGATCCTTTAAACATGAAATCCATAACTAAGCACAAAAAACCCAAAGAACCAAACCCTCAAACAAATATGACACCACCGACATAATGATAAACAAGAAACTACCCACTTGAAACAGATGCAGGCCTTGTAGAAATGAAAGTTTATCTACCAGTCAATACAAATGAAAGTATACAAATTAGCTTTAAAAAGCCTAGTTAAGAACCTGGGAAAACACTCTAATAACTGTATTAATTTTGGATCTCTAAAGATTCATAGCTTTTCCAGCTCAACAAGCACGCGCATATACTCGCACACAAACACATATACCAATATATACATACATAAGCATTATAGTCAAGTGCAAAGATATGCAAAAGCATGAAACTTTTGTTTCGTTAGCAAACAGTGTATGCTTTCTATATGTTTTATTTCCTTCCACTATGATCACCATATGTATGTATGTACTCTCTGATTGTGTCCGTGAGAGTTCTGTGTTTGTACATTGTCCAATTATGGACACTGACCATAATATTTACTCGTATTTCCTTGACGTTTAAAATTTTCAGGAGAGGGGACCGAAGTACCAAACTACTAAAAAACCATGTCAACAGGTCTAGAAGTAGCAACTGCACCATCTATAAACTCAAAACAAACCATGCTGCAAATTTATCAAGCTTTCACCACTACTCATAAATCAGAATGGAATAAGTGAACCTGGTTAGTTTCCTGAAATTATACAGATTCACTTAAGTAAAAAGGAACAATAGTGAATGTATTAGTACAAGGTCTTTATCCCAGTTTGTTGCTGTGCTTGGAAGTAGAGATAGATGTAAAAGTCATGTTGTGTGTTCTATCATGTCATGTTATTCTATAAACTATATCAAGGTGAATATCTTGATTTCAATTTTATATTTAGTTTCTTTATCTTAATTGACCGTTAGTATTTTGTATTGTCTATGGAATATCAGTAGTTGGGATAGTACAGTAAGGTAGCTAACAAAACCAAAATCAAAATAAACCGGACGTTAAAATGGTAACCAGAAGAAATATCGTGGGAACCTACTAAATGCACTGTTCCGGTCCGTTCATCCAACACTTGTATGGTTGAAGAGCCTGAAATCAACCGCAAAAAGGTCAAGAAAACAGAACCAAAAAAAAGAAAAAATTCTACATCTGTGTTGCAGATCATGTACTGCTTTCTAGCTAGAATTGATACTTCACTATTAAATACCATCCAACATTTTATATTTTGACACGAGTCACATT